TGGAAAGGCAATCATCAAGACTCATATACAGGTTTTTTTAGCGTTTCCATAACACTACTGTTTTGATTCACTTTCATTCTCATCTTTTGAGGTTGATCTCAAAAGTCATTTATTTTTTCTTTTGCAGACGGTTTTCATCATATGCGTCTGTAATAATCAGCTTCTTGACTGGGTAGAGAATGAGCTGATTTATATATTGAGCTTTGTGCCCGGTTTTGCTTCTGCATTGCCTGAGCTCACAGCGAAACTCCGCCTAATGAAAGAGAAGTACTTGGTTGCTTCGCCTCCAGTATCTTCTGATATCAATGTAACGTATTTTTTGTTTCTCCTTACTTAAGCCATTACCGTTATGCATTGTTCTGCATATTGAGGTATTTGGATGATTGTTTTCTTGGTTCAGGTCAAGAAATGGGATCTTTCTTTTGCATCAGTGTGGAACGGAGTCGTGTGGCTGATGCTTTTGAATTTCTTCGGCCAGATTGTGACTTCAACTGCACAGAGATACCTAAAGAAGCAACAAGAAGAAGAACTAGATGCCTTGACCAACAAGTCGTCGCTGAGCTCAAAGAGATCTAAGTAGTCTAAAATTTATTTCTCTTTTCGAACTTTGGTTTTTTTTTTTCCTTTCATAGAAACAATATGATTGTGTTTCTTCTTATCTGAGAACATAACAAATATGTCCAGAAAGAAAAGAAAAAACACAGAAAAAAATTGAAAGTTAAAAAGAAGTTCTAACTAAAGTTGTAAATATGATTTGTTTCACCTCTCTCAACATAAAAAAAAAAATGGTCTCCTTACTAAGTTAGTCAAGTGATCAGATCACCATGTTAAAATCGAGAAGGAACTTATCGTGTCGATAAAATTATCATTTAATTATGTTCTTTAATTTACTTGAAATCCAAGTTTCTAGTTGATTTATGATCCAAAACCTAACATTTCTATCTTGAAGACACGGTTATTGAAAAGAAATCAATGTTTGACCTATGATATATTATGTATGACCAACAAAAAAAAAAGAGGGGTTTATCTCAAAGCTAAATCCTGTATAAATGGCTAAGAAATTTACTTCAAAAGTATAGAGTATGGTCTTAAAAGACGAAATCAACTTCAAAGCTTACCGCAAAAAGTAACAAACGAAAGGGACAAATGAGAACTCATTACCGCAGAAACTGACAAAGAATAAAAGTCGAGAGTCTTAAATAAACTGTTCGTCTGTCTTTAAAGTATTTTTCCCATGCAAGAAGACACAAATCTCAACAGTTAAACAAAATAAATAAAAGATAAAAAAAGACCCCGAACATTATGCAAGAAAAGCCAATTTAATATAACTTATAAGTATACTTGGATAAATTTTATAGACAAACTTCCAAATAGAAAATGCCTAACACAAGTTACGTCATCTCACTTCAGAAATGTAATTTTTGTATAAACCCTTGATGCAATGGCGACAATTGCTCCAAGACATATTACTCATTTCTATGCAAATACATAAAATATTCCCTACTAATTAAGATTAATCAATACAATAAAAACAACAAAAGTCTCTCCAGTGCTGACACCTCAGCATTTTGGAGTATTGTGAGACTGACACCTCATTAAAATCAACAACCAATCAAAACATTTCGATTAATACAACTCAGATTTCTCAACCAATAATAACTCTTTCCAATTCCACATCACTTAATAATTATTAAATTAAACTCAAGTCCAAGTCCAAGCCCAAGCCCAATTGTTTTAAACTTTTAAAAGAACAACCTAATAATTAATTAAAATAAAAATAGCTCAATGCCTAAATTTCTATTAAGAAAATTAATTTAACGTAAGGTGCTTATTAATCATTTCGTAGGTAGTCACACTATTATATGTTTTTTTCAAATACGTAAGCTAACATAATTTTTTTTTTATATGCAAAACATGGTTTCTTATAAAATAATAAAATTGATAGCTTCACGAATGGAGGCATATACCAAAAAAAAATTACAAAGAAAAAAAACCTCGTAAAAAATATTTAAATTTGTAAATAAATAAAACAATATTTCAAAAGTACATCTACTTTTCATCTTAAAGTGCATAAATTTCTATGTTTTGTTTCACCGGTAATTTTAGCTTGAAGTCTCAATTAATGAATCACATAAAAAAAACTCCATGATCCAAATGTATAAGAAAATATGAGTGGTTGATTGAGAAAAAAAAAAGAGAATCATGAGGAATGGTGAAAGAAGGTTTGTGAAGGCTGAGATTCGGAAAAAATTGAGGATATGATATAGAAGAGACCTAATAGGCAAATGGGTTGGAGAAAGTTTGCTTACTTAAACTCAAAATTAGATTTTTTAAATCATTATTCAATGTTTTCAGCTCTACTAAAAAGGAGAAAAAATCTAAATTTTTTTTAATCATTATTCAATGTTTTCAGCTCTACTAAAAAGGAGAAAAAATCTAAAAAATAGCTCACGGGTTTGATTGAAGCTCTTGGAGCTTCTTAGAAATTCAAAAACAATTGGCACGATAAATAATCAAACACATGCAGCCATGTTTCTTTAGACTTTATATAGTTTAATTTCAATAACAATAAAAAAAAATTGGAGTTTGGAATTATAGAATGTACTTGAGGCGACTAAAGGTTCAGTTGTTGATTTAGTGTACATCATTTCAGAGATATAACAACAAATACAAATATTATAACTCTCATTTCATTCAAATAAAGGAACAATTCAAGTCATTAATCTTTTGTTTTAGAATTCAAAAGTAGTTTTATTTTCATAATATTTATTGACAGTTAGATAATTTTATTAATGCTAGAAAAAGACAACCCAAATACTAACTATCGGGTTTGGCAAAAGTTTTAAGCTTTAAAAGAAGACAAACATTTATATATATATATATATATATCATATATATCATAAAAAAATATGATCTTTTAAAGACTTTTCCTAACAAAATGATCAAAACTTGAACTATAAAACCCCTCGATATGATTTGGCTTGTGTTCGGGTCGATTTATATTCTGTTCGGTTCGGTTTGGTTTTAGTTGTGTATTCTTAAAGAAATTTAAAGGTAGAGATTTTTAAACAAAATTAATATAATTTTATATTTTATTAATTAAAAAAATGAAAAAAAATATCTAACGCTCTAAATCAAGTGCAACGTTGGTAAAGCATTACATATTAGTATTTACAACATTATTATTTAATTAAATAAATAAATAGATTGGGTTATCGGTTCGAGTTGAGAAGAAATATAATCAAATAGTTTGAATGTAAGTTATGGTTTGGTTTGGATCTGTTTAAGTTTGGTTTACTAGGTTTGTTTTCGTTCGGTTAAAATGTCGACCCATAATAATATTGATCTGATCTAATTCGAAAATCGAATTGTTTTAAAGTTAAAAACTTGTTCATAGTGTTCAGCTTCTACCGAAAAAAATACACACAAAAAACTTCGCGTATCAATTATTTTGATTTAATGGTCAAAAAATTATTTATTAAAACAAAAAGTATATTAAAATACTTTTAGTAGGATTCAAATATTGCTTGGTTACCATAAATGATTTTTAAAAAAATAATGTAAGGTTCTTGAAGTATAATAGTCGCTGAAAAAATATTTATATATATCACAATATAAAAAATCTAACATTTGTAAGAAATTAAACAAACGTAAAATAAAACAAACAAATAAAAAAATTGATTATAAGGTAAATTGATTCTTTAAAAGTAAGATATAAAAGTTATTTACTAATGTATTTATATATAAACTTATAAAATAAAAACAACTAATATAAGTGTTAAGGTAAAATACAAAATTCGTGAAACCTTTTAAATTTCTACCATAAATACTTATATTAAAACAAATTTTATCTACAAAAACTACTTGAGACTTAAATTATTTGTTAAATTCACTTCACGCATGTTGTTTTCTAAAAACCACTTGTTATCAAACAATTTCTTCAAAAATAATTTTTTAAAAAAACCCCGCAGCGTAGCGCGGGTTTCGATCTAGTACTAGTATAAAATTTGCTTACAGCAATAAACGTTATATTATAATGCAACAATCTGCATATACACACAACCACTACAAAACAGAAAAGAGTCAACCCTGACCTTTTCAATCAATTTTATAGAATTGACACATATTCCTAACATATACTGAAACTAGCTGAATAAAGTAATGTCAACACTATAACCCTTATGTATGTCGTCTTTTTTTTCCTAGTGATAAACTCAAATGGAATATCCAAAACTAATATGCATAACTAAAACTGTTTTCACAAGGGTTATGTAAGTTTATATATCCAATGTAATTATAAATTTTGAGTCTATAACGAAGTAGGCGAGTGAATGCATTTAAAAAGAAAGTCTCTTTGTCTTTCTTTTTTTGTTCAAACAAAAATGTCTCTTTGTCTTTTAGCTAAAATAAATGAGAAAACTCTTAACTGTTTACACTGTCTTTTCATATTTTTTTACTACTATAAGAAATTTAAAATTTCCCCTTCTTTCTATATTGCGCCAACGAGTGTTTTGTCAACGGCTTGCTTTTTTATTTTTATGATTAGGAAATAATGGGGTCACATGTAGGTACTTGTAATCCTCTAACAAATAATGAAACAACAGCAACATCGCATGTTCTCATTTGAATTTTCCCAATGAGTCTTTCTCCGTCACGACCACGTTGTCTTCTTCTTTTTTTTCTCCTTACTTTTCAAATTTACCCCAAAGCGAAGACTTTATTTTTATTTGTTTGCATGCTTATCCCGAAAATGTGCCCATCGTAATTATTAATACAAATCATCATCTATTAAAAGCTACTAAAATGTTAAAGTTCAAATAATAACCTTGATACAAAGCATTAATTCAAAATTCAAACGGTACGACTTTCACTTCTAACAATTTAGATAAATAATTGAAATCAAAACCATAGACAATTGATCAAAATTATTAGAAAAATACACTTGACGAACTAAAGATGATAGAAACAACAATAAGTAAAAAAAAAAAAAAAAAAAGAACAATCACGGCAAAAGTTTATATACTACTTTAATAGATGGATTTGGATAATTTTGAGTTAGAACCGTTGAGATAAAGACACGTGGCGGCGTCTAATCTGAGTTGAAACAATGGAGACAAGACCACCGAGCGGTGGCCTCATCTTTGACCTATAAGTCATCTCATCGTACGGTCTACGATAGAACTTGAGAAACTGAACGAACGAATCTCGTGGCTTCTCACTTTTGCTGACGTGTGACTCTCGCCTGAAGAAAACCGCCGGAGATTGGAAGAAAGACGGGCGAGGTATCCGCGGGTCACGTAGGGTTCCGATAGAGTGACGGTCGGTGGTCCTAGCTGGCATCGGAGTGGAAGCAAAGAAACTCCTCCTTGGACCACCGAATGGCTCGCTTCTTGCCGCCGGTGACGCGAAAGAGAAAGAACGCGCGTTTAGCGGTGAGATATACGCGCCTGTGTTGTGTCCTAGTTTGGATGATGACGTGTCAGTCAACGTAAGACACCATGGTTTGACTGTGTCGAGACCGTCGCGGGATACGGTGAAAGCGAACCTAGAGGATGCGCAGGAACCAATCTTGTCCGTTGATTTGAGTGATGACGTGTCGAATCGTAGGGAGGAGACTCGTGATGGGTAAGATGAAGAGAAGTCGTCGTAGTCAAACGAGTCTTGAAAATCTTGCATTGATACGATCATCGTAGCCGTTGATAGATCCACGAATGTGCGAATACCCTACACGTGAGCGTAGAGGATCAGTATCTTTGACTTCAACTTAAAAAAATATATCATCCCGCTTTCAAAGTAACATTTAGATAGGTGAACTAACACTTTGACTTAAGCATAATTAAAAGGGAAAATTGTACATACTTGAAAATTTAATCAAATTAAATTGGTAACGTACCTTCCAAAGGTAGGAGAAAAGAGAAGGAGGATCAATGACGAAGGTTTTGAAAAGACGACAAGGATAATACTCTGCGACTATTTTAAGTGTAGTCACAAGTATGTTCATGAAAGCTGATGCTGATTTGAAGAAGCCTGCGATTTCAAAACATGCAAGAAACATTAGTTTAACCAAAATTTGTTATAAAAATTTGACACGGTTGACAATATTTTTAGAAAATACATGTGAAAACAAATGTTGAAAATTTGTGTTTTGCTTTATAAAAAAATAATAATAAGAAAAGGAAGGTGTGCAGTGGAATTGCAGAGGATCAAAAGAGGAACATTTAATGAAAAGCTAAAGAGTACTATCAGAGTTACGAGAAGTACTGCTGCTGCAACTGGTGTAGAAGATCAACATAAGTAAATGCCAAAAATACCCTCAATAATTGAGACTATGATTCGTTTGTGACCGTGACTATACAGGGACACTACGGACATTATCGGATCGTTATCTCTCCCACTTTCCTGCCCGGAGTTCCGACATGTTCCGGTCCCCTATTTTTACCAACTTCTCTTTTTGTAAAAAAACACATTTATGTTTATTCGTTAACCGTGACAATATTTCCATTGAAACGATAAGAAGACAAAATAAAATAGTTACCACATTTTGAATTTCTTCCGCTTTATTTTGAAAACCTTTTTTCATAGTAATATATAAAATGATAAATGGAAAATGAGAGAGAACTTACTAGCATCGAAAAGGATGACAAATTGTTCGACGTTTCTGGACATGGTTGAGATTGCAACCTCTAATGTAAATACCACCAAACGAGTCAACCTACGAATATAAACGAATTTATAAATTATGTTTTGTGTACTTGTATTGATGTTTTATACGTATGGATAATTTATACTTACTGTTTCTGCGTATGTAGCTTCTGATAATCTTGTTTAATGCGGAAAACCTAAGAGGAAAAAGAAATGTTACACTAGGTTTGATTATGAATCAATTAATAAAATGAAGGAAAGTGAGATTAAGTTACCAAAACGGGTCTACACTCGTCGTCAAGACCAGCGACGTAGGCAAGACCTTCAGCAAGCTCCGCCGTGAACTCGTCGGCGATCAAGCTCTCTGTAATTGTTATTACATATATGCATATAAATAAGATATTAAAATATAATATTTTTTAAAAAAAAAAACAAATTCGAATTTGTTCAACAATATTGTGTTAAATAAAAAAAAGAAAAAAAGAAAAAGGGAAACAGAATCTTGAAAAATTAAATAGAAGAGGTTAAAAATAAGTGGGTGTCATAATGAGTAGATATTCACTTTAACGCTCGATGTTCAAACATGGGACACATCAAAACCCGAGAAAAAAAGCAACGAAACGTCTGTTTTTCTAATTACACACAAAAGAAATACAAATACGAGAACCACTAGCTAACCAAATCTATCATCTATACACACTACACTACATGCTTACTTTAAGCTTTATGTTTTTAACCTCTCGTTTTCATTATTTTAAAATTTTAGACCGTTTTATATAGTATAAAGCTTCGGACCTCTAAAGATGAAACGTACGCGTGTTCATGTACGTGTATTTTAGTATAGTATCAACATACAATTTTTTTTTATAAAAAGACTGCAAATATACGTTTATCCATATATAAATATACATTTCAAATTTTTGTATAAAGATATATATAGTGCTTGAGTGTATGTAATGATCAAGAGAGAGAAAGTACCAATGCCAAGAGAAGATCTCCATGAAAGGCAAGACCTTAACTGTTTAGCTGCTTTCTTCACATTGTCTCCTTTTATTCTCAAGAACCTACCGACACAAGCTCTGTTACAGAACTTCTCCTGCAATATTCATCAAATTAACCAACATCAACAAAAAAATCATTTCTCTAAACAGAAAAAATTTGTTAAAAGTAACGGAAATATAATTAGTGAGCTAATAAATATGTAAACCAACCTGTTTAAGAGTTAGAGGAGAATGTTTACGAAGGAGATGAAGAACAGCTTCGACCTTGTCGTTGCTCTCTACTGTTGAATGATGATCCTTCTGCTCTTTCTTTCCCATTTTCAAGATATCGACCCCAAAAAATGTCTCCTCTCTTCTTTCTTTTTATTTGTGAGAAAGAGATTGATTAATTAGCCCGTTGTAACAAATATACCAAGCTTGTTATTCAAGCGAGAGAAGGAGAGAGAGAGAGAGAGAGAGAGAAGTGAGGGAAAAAAGAGATTTTGAAAAAATGGAAGTGATTGAATGGTGAGAGAGAGAGAGAGAGATTCCCTTGTATATATTTTGGGAAGGAGATAACGGCAGCTGACGCCGTTAACACTACGCAAAGCACATATGTCCAGGTCAAGGTCATTTGTTTAATATTTTATTGTTGTATTAAATTAAACTAGCAATTTTTATATAATTTTTGTCAACATTAAAATTAGAAAAATATCGGCCACTTAATATATTTTAAATTAAACCGAATGAAATTTTACATTACAACTTGAAAATGTATAATTTAGAAAATTTTATTTGCGGTGATAAGCAAAAAATCATATTCACTTAAAAAAAAAAGGGTCAAAAGGCGCAAGTGTTATTAGCATAGCTGCAGGGTATGCCCGTTGGAACAGGTAAAATTACAAGGATTTCTACTTTACTTAAAACTCGTTGAACTTTCAATAGTTTTTAAAAGCACTGATTTTGATCACATCAATCTCTCCTCCTTTAAAAAAAAAAAAAAAAAATTATGAATCTTATTTGCTTGTACAACAAACGTATTATTCTTTTCTAATCATCTACTTCAACTCTTCAACAAACATATTTTTGTTGGGATATTAAACAAAATATGTAAAATCAGAACTAGTCGAATTTGCTTCTTGTGGATATATAATAAAATTGTATATTACATTTAATTTTGTTTCAGATGCACATGATTTCCGTTAAATTAAAATAACATGTTATAGATATAAAAAACGGGAAGAAATCAACAAAATAGGTTTCCCTTTGATATCTTACATAATACGTGTGTGTATATATTTTACATGACAAACTTTAAAAGAGGAAACATGAAAGGGTCAATAAATAGGTTGATTGGGCAGATATCTCTCGTGCTTCGAATCGGGTTTAATTCACAGCCATTTTGTCCCGGTGCAGTAAATACGCAGATTTAACATTGACTTTAAATTTTTAGTATAATTAAGTAGTCTTAAAGATATTAAATGCCATTAGCTTTAACACTTTCGAGAGAACACAACAAACCGAAAAAAAAAAGAACACAACAAACAACGACAAAAAAAACAAAAAGCAAACATCGGACCAATTAAAGTTAATTAATACCTTTAATTAACATATTTTAAAATAAAACTTAAATTTTTTCTTTCTAACTAATAAATTGGATGAGTTATAAACTAATTAGTTAATTAAGGCAAGTTTGGTGCCTAATACAAGATAAAAGATCTGAACAAATTTTCTTTAACGAAATATTTTTTTTGAACAAATGAATGCATCTTAATTATGTGAATCGAAAGTGATTTTTAGTGTGAAATAGGAGGGCGATCATATCAACCGGGACTCAATAGAATACGAGTGTCATAATTTATGATTACTTAAAGCATTTTAAGCTTGGGATTTTATTTTCTAGCTAGCTAATCACCTATTGTTATGCTATTATGCTGCTACATAAGTTCGGGCAGTTCGCAATCGTGTTTCTTCTCTTCAGAGGGAAAATCCAACTCGCGTTATATACTCCAGTACTTTTTCTTTCTTTCTTATTTTAGTGTTATGCGACAATTTATGTGTACTACTTGGTTCTAACATTTCTAAAAACATGGATTATATCAATGACGACTATTATATATAAATATAGATTAACCTTTCCTTTATATTGGGTTCAAAATTTTAACACTACCATAGAAACCAAGTTCTTACGTATCATTCATTCAATTTCAGAAGCTCTAGTACTTATGAAGATACCTTAAATTTATGAACTAGTATAGCTCTAATAAACGTTCAAGTTTACATGATCTCATTCTAACTTTGTTTTGATAAAGTTATATATATTTGAGTTTGACAGTGAATTTGTTAGGTAGAACAGGTAGACAATTGATTAATTTTATCTATAATGTTTCTCCACCAAGTCTAAGTTTGAAATTTGGTTGTTGTCTTTATGAATGGGGTTAACGATCATTAGACCAGTGTGAATTATTTTGTGAATTTGTGAAATAGGATGGCATGATGGCATGTGTACCATGTACGATTCTCCAGAGAATTAATAATTAGAATATACCGTATAACTCACAACGGTCCGAGTTATAAATTATAAAGTTCAGTGATATAGTATTTGATAAGATATAAAGGAGTTCATTATATAGGAAGTGGAAACGACATATCAAAAAAGACTCAGTCTTTGACAGCCAACAGTAACAAATCAAATATTCGTATCAACTAAAAAGTGTACCTTCAAGTAGAATGTATTGGCCTTTTGTGTGTGTGTTTTTTCTTCAATATCAGTAATTTTTTCTACTGGCGTTATTTTTTTCCATATCGGCCATGAGAACTTACATATAATATCTTTGATTGATTTCATTTTCTCTGCCCATGCCATTTCACACTCCTCTAACCAACTATATATGAAAAAGTTTGTAACTATATGAAAATTCTTTATATATAAATTTCAATGAATGAAAAGTTGGTTTTTGCTGCAAATTCAAAATTTCAAAGCGTTTCTTAGTGTGTATAATAATGGAGGAGTAAATTATAACAGTATGAAATTTTTATTCTTGAGAAAATCCAGTATAATTTGAGATTATCCAATACATGCAACAAACTCGCATCATGCTCAAGTAGTCAAATGTCAATTTGGTCACATCCGCACCCGTATATTGAAACTTATATGCTAATATCATTTTTAAAAACTAATAAGAAAACAAAGGCATGCAGAGATAAAAAGCTGGAGGAAAAGAAGAAAAAGCCCGTGAACAAATAGTTGAATGGCATAATTAGTATGCACATATATATGAGATTGTCTTTTTAATGAAAACAAAAGCTCTTGCTTAAATTTAGATAGATTCGATGCCTGTGAATAATATTTTTTGAAGATAAAAATAATTAAAGATAAATGAGACGGAAATAGTTCATTTACTAGGATTGATTACTAACTAATATACAATGAGACGACTTTGAGTTAAGTTCAAACTTTTCATTATTAATCGCATGAAAAGTCACTATGATTATGTTTGTTTGTTCATTTATAACACACTCATCATTGTATTTAAATAAAATGTAAGATTGATTATGTCTTAAAATGACGATTGTAAGTTAGCAACCTTTAATTCAAATAAATTTGCATGCATAGCTGACAAGCCTTTTTGATCGTCAACTCTATTTATTTATTTAGATCTCGATTTCATCAGTACTTACAATTACAAACAATATACTAGATGATTAATCCTCACACAAACAACATATTTTGAAATTTTGTTTTGAATTTTAATCCAATAATTCAAATGTGGATATATTAACGTTATTATTTTGAATGCTAATCCAATAACAGTACGATAGTACGATGAACCTAACACCATGTTGACCTCTAACACCTAACATGTTGACCTCTAGTGTGCCAAAGAAAAAACAAGTAAACATAATTCAGAATTTAACGTTGCTAATTATCGGCTTATAAAAATACTTTGTTTTGGTAATGGAGTCCGACATATATTCCTGATTTCTGATTTTCTGATAAGAAATTGACAATAGATAGCATAAGGTATAAGAAACAGTGGTGACATTATTATTACAGTAATAATTGACTTAGCGACTTTTGGAAATACTATAATTTTGTTGCTCTGACGCACCATGTCAACAACAACTCACTCACGTGACCCCATTCCAAGTCTCTCTTACTTCTTCTTATTCTTTGCTAAAACATTTCTATCACATTGTACCAAACCTCCTGAAAATTCGATTTCATCGTTCCCTTTTTCTTGTTCTCATATCTAATTTCAAATTTTGAAATCGGGCCAATGACAAGAAACAATGATAATTTCATTAAGTTAGTGACGTTTGATTAACATTCGAATTTTCCATCATTTCACATTTTTATATCTCTTTGATTGATTATATATGCACATTTGCTTCCATCAAAGACTCTAGTATACATACTATTTTGATAACTTAAGATTTCGAGCCAAAGTCAAAATACTAATATCTGAAATTATTAAAGCGCTAAAAAAATGCTTATCTTTTTATTTAAGTATCAACATTGGTTAACTATGATTGAAATCACATAAAAAAAAAAAAAAACTCCAACCATGGTCTTCCAAGTTCCAACTCGATGATGAGTCATTTAACTATTAAATTTGTTTAGTCTCTTAATAAATCATAAAACATTTACAAAACTTAAAACTCTATAGCTTATGTGTTTACTTGGTTTTTTTTTTTAACATCACTTGCTTTTTTTTCAAATTCACTTTTTCTTAGAGGTGTTTAGGAGACGTGAACCTCTGAATAAGTTTAGAGACTATAGACTAAAGTAAAATTTTGATATAGAAGATATAGCAAAAAAGAGTCAGACGGTGCTTTTTAATAATGACAAATTACTGAAATAGTACTGAAATCATCGTTAGATATAGCAAAAAGAAAAAAATACTCCTATAAGGCTAAGCCTGGTTGACAAAAAAAAAGAATAAGTATATAAGCCCATAGCTTATTTTTCTTTATAAAAATAAAGTCTTGGGCTTTGTTGCCATACTTTTTTGGCCCATCAACCTATTAAATTGTCAGTAATTATTTGCCTCTTTTAACATTGCCAATTAGGCGAAATATTGAGATCGATTTCTCTCAATAGAGGGGGCTAATTGATCAAATCAAAAACTAAAGGGGTGCATATTTAATAAGAGTGGATTACTATAAATAAATCCGGGATGGAAAAAAATAAAAAAGTTCCGTTTTGGTTTCCTCATCTTTTTGTTGTACCGCTCCGTTGCGCCTCTCTCTCTCTCCTTCCCTTCCTCTCTCTAGCGGCGGAGTTACATTGTCGGCCGCCGAGGAAACCGGCGACAGTGGTATCTCTAGGCTCACAAGCTCGTCACGTCGATTCTTAAAAGGATTCATCGCCGATAACTTTCATTTTCATATCTTCTGTTTTGCGATAGGATCGTGACTCATCTCGTTTCTCACACCCCGGATCTGGTGATTTAAGGCGCTTTTTGATGCTTTTCGAGTAACGGGTTTATCGATTTAGGTATTTCATTATTGATTTGGTCTGGGATTTGACGGGATTAGGATTAAAGGTCCTTACTTTGATTTCGTGTCTAGTGATTGTTTATGGAACGGGGTGGTGGTTCCGGTGCTGCGAATACTCCTCTGATTTTGAAGGAGAAGAGCGATGGGGTTGCTAGGGCTGTGTCTTCTACTGGAACTAGACAGAAGAGATCCAGAATGGTTGGTAGTGATTCCGAATCAAGTGATGAGTTTATGAAACCACCTCCACGTACAAGTGGCGTTGACCGCAAAACCCTTGGGGCAAAAGACAAGTTTGTTCGGAAGAGGGATCGAAATGGGTATGTGGGGAGGAACAAAGAGGCGTCAGGAAGTTTTATGAAGATGAACAAGTTAGATGTTTTTGAGTTTGATGAATACGATGGGTTTGATAGCGCCAATTTGATGAGAAAACGCTTTGATAATGGCACTGTTGGTGTTAGCGGAAGAAGCTCTTTTGCATCCAGAAGGGTTGATAGTAGCGTGGGAAGGTCTGGATCAGGCAGGGATGGTCTATTTGATAGGAGGAGGAGAAACACATTTGTAAATGGCACAGGTAGTACGAGCTCACAGGAGGATTCGAGTAGTGAATCTGATTCTGATGAACCAATGAGGGTGCAAGGGACAAACGGTGTTCTGAAGGTGAAGGTCAACAATAAGACAAGCACTCCTGCTGCTTCAATCAACCACCAGTACGCAGAAATATATGAGAGACCGCTCTCCTTTAGGAAGGCACAAAGGCGTGAGAATGTTGTAGTTAAACCAACCTTTAGGAAATCAAATAATGTGGAGAATAATTCAGAGTCTGAAGAGAGCGACATGCCGAGGAAATCAAAAAGGCGGAAATCAGAGTATAGTAAACCCAAAAAGGAGATCAATACAAAGTCAAAATCAACCTTTCCTGAATCGGGGAAACCTGATGTGAGAGAACGCTTTGATAATGGCACTGTTGGCGCTAGCGGAAGAAGCTCTTTTGCATCCAGAAGGGTTGATAGTAGCGTGGGAAGGTCTGGATCAGGCAGGGATGGTCTATTTGGTAGGAGGAGGAGAAACACATTTGTAAATGGCACAGGTAGTACGAGCTCACAGGAGGATTCGAGTAGTGAATCTGATTCTGATGAAGCAATGAGGGTGCAAGGGAGAAACGGTGTTCTGAAGGTGAAGGTCAACAATAAGACAAGCACTCCTGCTGCTTCAATCAACCACCAGGACGCAGAAATATATGAGAGACCGCTCTCCTTTAGGAAGGCACAAAGGCGTGAGAATGTTGTAGTTAAACCAACCTTTAGGAAATCAAATAATGTGGAGAATAATTCAGAGTCTGAAGAGAGCGACATGCCGAGGAAATCAAAAAGGCGGAAATCAGAGTATAGTAAACCCAAAAAGGAGATCAATACAAAATCAAAATCAACCTTTCCTGAATCGGGGAAACCTGATGTGAGAGAGGAAAGAAGAGGAAGGCGTGGTGGTGGAACAGAGAAGCAAAGATTACGTGAGCGAATTAAGGGAATGCTTACTGATGCAGGATGGACAATAGACTATAAACCTAGGAGGAATCAAAGTTATCAGGATGCTGTATATGTAAACCCCTCAGGAACAGCATATTGGTCAATAATAAAAGCATATGATGCACTTCTAAAGCAGTTAAAAGACGAGGGAGTTGATGCCAGGCCTAGGAAAGATACTGCTGCAGTTGCTTCAGTATCGGAGGATATTGTGAACAAGTTAGCAAGGAAGGCAAAGAAGACCTGGACTGAGATGACAAAGAAATGGAAAAAAAATTCCAGTGGTAGTGATAGTGAAAACAAAAGTGATGGAGGAGCCTACACTGATACCTCTGAAGAGAGGATGATACGTTCATCCATAAAGCTGGGTGGGAAATCGACCAAAAAGGGAAGAAATGGAACTGATTGGGATGAGTTGCACACAAAAAGTAAAAGATCATTATATTTTAATAGTGCAAGGCCATTCTCTGAATCAGATTCACATTATCTACATGGACGAAAAAGCAAAAAAATTGGAAGATGTACTTTGTTGGTGCGTAGTTCTAAGGATAAAAAGAATCCAGCGATTGACGGGTTCAATCCATACTCTGGAAAAAGGACATTGCTCTCTTGGTTGGTTGAATCTGGAGTGGTCCAACTCAGACAAAAGGTGCAATACATGAAGTGTCGAGGTGCAAAGGTGATGCTGGAGGGATGGATAACAAGAGAGGGTATTCATTGTGATTGCTGCAGTAAAATTCTCACAGTCTCCAGGTTTGAGATTCATGCTGGGAGCAAGTCATGTCAGCCTTTCCAAAATATTTATCTGGAATCTGGCGCTTCTCTTCTTCAATGCCAAGTCAGAGCGTGGAATATGCAGAAAGATGCTACGAATCTTGGTCTCCATCAAGTGGACACTGACGGGGATGATCCAAATGATGATGCTTGTGGTATCTGCGGAGATGGTGGAGATTTGATTTGCTGTGATGGTTGTCCATCAACATATCATCAAACCTGCCTAGGTATGCAGGTATGTAATTACTATGAAGTCTTACCTGTTTTGACCATTTAATGTTTCTTTCCATTTTTTGGTTCCGAGTTCAACTTTCTATCTGTTTTGGTTTCTTGTGTGTATTTACATACTTGTATCATGCTATGATTGTAGGTGCTTCCTTCGGGTGATTGGCATTGTCCAAATTGCACATGCAAGTTTTGTGATGCAGCTGTGGCTTCTGGTGGCAAGGACGGAAATATTTTATCATTACTTTCCTGCAGCATGTGTGAGAGAAGATGTGAGATGTTTCCCTTACTGAGGTTGATTTCCCTTTAAATGAACTCCCATTGCCAATGGTGATCTCACTTAAATTTTACCAATCCTTTTGTAGATCATCAATCATGCATGAGTGATGAAGCTCACAAGGTTCAATCTCCTGGTTCAGCTTCTTCGTTTTGTGGGCCTAAGTGCTTAGAGGTATTGACTTGTCTTCTCTACTCTGGAATTTGTTGTTTTGTTATTATGGAGTCCATTTTCTTCTTAGTGACTATAGAGGATGGTAGGACAAGATCACGACTTATTAGTTTCATGTCCAATAAAAGTGTCATCTTATATTTTTTTAAACCTCATTTTTTTTTTACGTTGTATATTTTGTGCATCGTACAAAATTCTCATATGTGTATTAGCATCAGTGAAGGCTCATTCTCTTGGTGTTTCTTTTATACCATCAATTTCCTGGGAGAGAACTTACAACTTCTGTATTTATACAATGGGGAAATGCTTAGAGCTTTTTTATCTATTTGTTCAGTAATTTTCATGTCAATGCATGTATTTGGCATTCTTCTCATATAGCCATATCCTTTAATTGTACGTTCATTATCTTTTACAGCTCTTCGAAAAGTTACAGAAGTATCTTGGTGTCAAAAATGAAATAGAAGGTGGCTACTCGTGGTCTCTTATACATAGGGTGGACACTGATTCAGATATAAATTCTCAATTGTCGGCACAAAGAATCGAAAATAATTCAAAGCTAGCTGTCGGGCTAGCTATTATGGATGAATGCTTTTTGCCCATAGTTGACAGAAGGAGTGGGGTAAATCTGATTCGCAATGTCCTTTATAATTGTGGGTAAGTTTGTGTTTTAGTCTGTCTTTTATATTTATACGAAAAAGTATGATGTCTCCAACACCTCTTGATATGGAGTTTATGTATAAGCATTGAAGTGGATAACTGATAATCCTGAAACTGAATTGAACATGGTATCTAGTAGGAGCTGAGAGATTAACATGTCAGCTATAAGAAACGTAAACTTGTCACGGTGACATTGTAGATATACTGAAGAAATGGCTGGTGTTAGTGTCTTATCAATGTAGATATTAGTTTGATCTTCATTGTATGTATGTTTCTTACTTTTTTTCTTAGATGCAGTTGCATGGAACTTTGACCACTTATTTAATTGGGTTGCTCTATACTGTCTATGGTTGATTCCAAATGTTGACTGCCTTCTCTATGCAGATCCAATTTCAACCGGATAAATTATACTGGCTTCTACACTGCTATCCTAGAGAGAGGAGATGAAATTATATCTGCGGCATCTCTCAGGTATTTTTCCATCATCTTAGTCCACACATTTTAATAAAAGCCAATGACATCATCGAATCATCCCTGAGAAGTATCAGATAAAACTTATCTCGTCTGAAATTATTGGAAATCAGTTATCTAGTGAACATTTGGATATCTTGCATTTTCCTTCCCCCGTCTAGTCCTTTAACAACTAAAAGCGTATTTGTACCGATTCTTTTGTCACCCGCTTTGCTACAACTTTGAGTTCGCTGATAGGACGATGACCATTTAACCAGCTGTGAGTAAGTAATGCTGTATATCAGCTGTAGGTTATTCAGTTGCTTATACTTGTGGATGCAAGTGATTGCACATGTTCATTCATTTTAAGTAGTAGTTGTTCCATCGATGTTCAATTTCGAGGACCTTTTAGAATTGAAGTGTTTTATTTCCTTGTTAGGTTCCATGGTATGGAATTGGCAGAGATGCCATTTATTGGAACCAGGCACATATACAGGCGTCAAGGAATGTGTCGCCGCCTTTTTGATGCGATTGAATCGGTAAGTTGTGTGAACTATATATATAATCATTATTTGTGGGGGCCAGATGCTGAAACTTTTCAACTTTTGGTTTGCCTTGTTTTTTAAAGGCTATGCGTTCTCTCAAGGTTGAGAAATTGGTTATCCCAGCCATTCCAGACTTCTTGCATGCATGGACTGGGAACTTTGGATTCACTCCTCTTGATGACTCAGTTAGAAAAGAGATGAGGTCCCTGAACACATTGGTATTCCCTGGAATAGACATGTTACAGAAACCGCTGCTCCATGAAGAAAACATTATAGCTCCTGCCGCTACAGGTGATGCCATGATTTCAGAGATAGAGACAGAAAAGAAATCAGAATTTCCCTCTTCTGTTGAAATTGGTCCATACTCCGTTGAGGGTGATGAATTTGTCGCTGATGCTGCAAACTGCTACAAAAATATTCTTGCTTCTGATGAAGACAATATTCTGGTACCAGTTGAAACAGCCATGGGCTCGATTTCCAAGCCGGAGGATGAGTTGAGTAGACATTTTCGCGGTGAAGAATGTGGCATTAGCTCTTCTTCTTGTAAGATCACGTTAAAGTCTGGCACTAAGCAGGGATTAGGTCATATATGTGATGATACAGGATCATCATGTGAAGATGGCCTTACGGATGTGAATGTCGAAGCTGATGCTAGCTTACTCTCTCAGGAAATCCAACAAGCATCAGCTAATTTTCAGGTTGAAAACAATCTCTCTTTATCTATTTCTGGTAGAGGATCATCAGATTTGAGCTCTATCTCCCAAGAAGCCAAGAGTGAGCAAACCTCTTCGAATTTAGACGGGGTTCCTTCATGTAAAGACTATAACATACTCGGTCCTGGTGCTAAGTTGGATAAATCGAAAGATGATGCATTCGCGGATGGTTTTCTTTTGTGAGGGGAAAAACCCTTGTTCTCGGGATGAAAATCTAAGCTCTTCAGGCTGTTCTCCTAGAGGAGGTATAACAGCTCCCTGGATTTGTTAGGACATTTGGATTGTCATAACTTTCAAGCTGCATTATCCAGCAGTCGAGATTCAGTTTCACATATCCCATAAGAGATTTGTGATGAAGGTATATGCTTTACGCTGTATTATCCTTTGAGCTGCTAATGATACTGTAGAGTGGAAAAATTTACTGTGGAATGACAATATCTTTTAAGCCTGAGTGATCTCATATTCAGCTCGATTAGCGTGGAAAGAGTCCTGTTGATGTTGTTGTTGTTGTTGTCATTACTTGTATTTATTATTCACCCAGATTCAGGGTTTGTATTATATGAAGCTCCAATTATATTTTTGGAGCCATACTAGTTTTGCATATCAGAGCTCTATTATCTCTCAGATCTTCTAGAAGACTTGTACTGCTTTTCTGTTTCTTGGTCAAGCTTCCTTCTATTGCTTTCAAGTTCCAATACTTTGATATATAACATTAGTGAAACATGTTACAGCAAAAATGTCACAAAAACTCTTCAGCCTTGTTAAGATCATCCAAAATCTCTGTCTTAACCTCATCAGGTAGTGGTGCAGAAGGACCAGCCTTTGAGTAAAATTTCGCCAAAGCTCGGATTACATTCTCCAGCTCCACGTATGATTCCTGAAACATACCAACGGATCAATCAATTTCAATTCATCAAGTGTCAATCAAAAAGATGGGACAAAAGAAAGACAAGATACTTCTCCAGCAACAGTCTTTTGTCCTCTCCAATTGCTCAGATAATCACGAATGGATTCTTTAGCAGCATCAGCACTTCTTCTAAACTTAGCATTGTCTTTAGGGTTCTCTTTCAATGACTCTCTCATGGTTTTGACAACCTCTCTTGCAGATTTCAAGTAAGCTTTTGGTAACTCTTTGCCAGACTTTGTTCTCTCATTAGGATCAAACAAAGTCTTGAAAGCACCAACAACTCCTTGTCCTTCTTCTACCTTTTCCTCTGTCGCCTGAGCTTGTAATCCAGAAAACTCAAATGCGGCCATAAACGAAGAAGCACTAACAACACATTTCAAGAAACCACGACGATCAAACAAAGATGATGTTTGGCCCTGAAGAAGCTTTTCATCTGTTTTAATTTTCAAGCAGTTATTTAGAAATCGTGAAATCAATCCATCTCGTATAAAAAAAACTGAATCATTCACGAGACATGTTTGCTTTCAACATTCGATGATAAAAACAGAGATTTCAAAAAAGAAAAGAGATAAAGAAGATGAAGAGTGAGATACTTTGACATTGATGCTTCGATTTGATATGGTGATGCATCAAGGTAGGAGAAAAGTTCATGGCAGCTACAAGGAAACCCATGAATCTTCCTGTCTGATAGCAACAACCACCTCAGAAAGAGGATGATGGTTCTAGTTGATTGCGTAAATGACGAATTTGCCCTTCAAGTTGATGATTAAAAAATCTAAAAAAGCGCTAGAAGGAGGGTTCGAACCTCCGACCTTGTGGTTAACAGCCACACGCTCTAACCAGCTGAGCTATTCCAGCTACTTGTCTTGTTATGTGCGTAAAACTAATTGAATCAATTCTGTTTTGTTATGTGCGTTGTCTTTTTTTTTTTTTTTTTTTTTTTTTTTTTGTGCGTTGTCTTCTTATGTGCGTAAAACTAATTGAATCAATTCTGTTTTGTTATGTGCGTCATTGCAGTAACATATTCAATGACAACAACAATGGAGCCACTAACTTGAATATAACTAAACTATCCAATATATCAGATTTTCAAATTGATTTTGTTTACTTGTATTGGATTCACAATTTATTTACATACGGGCAGCTTCATCGCAAGCAAAGGTACGTTACTCTTCTTCCTTGGCTCAACTCTGTTATTATGAAACAAGTAACCAATCTCAACAACTAACTCAGCAGAACCCCAAAAGGGACATATGCGCCAAAACCACTGACCATGAGGATACTCGTATGTTTGCAAATTCTGTTTACTCTCCTCGTATGTTTATTCCACTAAACTTTTGTAGCCAACTTGAATCACGACTCTTAGCAAAACAAACCAAATCATTGTTAACAACCAATTTTCGTGGGAAACCAAATTCTGTTTACTCTACTCGTATGTTCAAACGATCTCCAAGCTTCATCACATTCACATCTATGGTTGTCAAGCTTCATCGATCGAGTTGAATCAATGAAGATCAGGAAATCTTTGGAAATGCTTATGTTCTATCGACAGACCACACATTGAACCTGGTACTAGTACGAAGCTTAGATAACACACAAAACACATTGTTTATTTGAGTTTTAGATCTGTTTTCTGTTGGCAAAATCATTAGAAAGTAAGAAAATTCTTTACCACAATGAAAATGCAAGGGATAAACCGCATTGTTATATATTCTAATGGAGAATGAGACAGTGAAACATTTACTATTACAGAGGGTAAACCGTATTGGTAAAGATTAGGAAAATCTCAACGTTACAGGCCTTTGGTTGCTTGTTCAGTACTCAACTCACCATGGTAGTAGCATTCTCCAGATAAGAATCAAGGGGAGCCTCAACTCTGGCCTCCTCAAATTCGTCCAAGCATACATATACCCACTGGGGATTTGGTTGCCACCCCTAGCTAGTAGCATTCTCGGGATAAGAATCAAGGGGAGCCTCAACTCTGTCTTCAACCGCCTGCTCGCATACAGGCCCTCCTCTGGGGGTAATCCGGAGATGAACCTGCTTGAAAACCAAATGCATATGCAGTGGAAAAAGATAACATGGGGTCAAATTTAGGCAAACAAAACTACAAGTAGTGAGAAAGGGAAACAACTAGTTGGGGTAAGAGCTAAGAGCTTGTTTGAGTCAAAAATAGTTGGACAATGACAAAAATTGGCTAGGATGCTTAATTACCAGCCGTGCATGATCTCCAGTAGAGAGATGCCTGAGGAAATTATCAACGCCCCGGCCCGCAGCAAGACCTGGGGCAACAAAATGATGACACACATTGCAAAACCAGGAGGGTGGTTCACCTGTTTCAGTGCACTTATCCTCCTCAAGTGCCACTGGATCTGTGGAAAAAGAAAAGAAATAGATGCTGGTTCAGTAACAAAATTCATTCAACAAGACTGTGAGAGACGAGGAGAAACACACACCTTCCACAAGGAATTTTTTCCATAGGCTCTTTGCAAGAGGGGTGGCATGAGTGGAGGCCATTTCTTCGAGAGGAAACGGGAAAATAATGTAGTATCCCTTCTCTCTTTGCTTGTAAAGAAAATGAGAGAATTCTGCAGGAATGTAGGCTGGTTGGCGGGATATGACCATCATATTAGATGGAGGTGGACTCTTACGAAGAAAGGAGTCAAGGAAAAGACCAATCATGTTGGTGGGGCCTGTTTCAGCATGGCATTTAGACTCTAGCAAGGAATTATAAGGAGGATGAGAAGATACTAACTTTTGAAAGTTTGCTTAAGAGAGATTCCAGTGGAATAGACCGCTTCAAGGATGTCACGAGGGACCTCTGATAGTAAGCCAACGGCAGTGATGGTGATAGGACCAGTGTAGCCTAACTTCCTCAATATCCGTTTGATACACGGACCCACCCGACGAGCATCATAGTCATCGGGAACCGGACACCACTTTATGTCCCAGAAGACCGATACTGGGGCCAAAGCTGCCTCCTTCGTAGGTGGAGGCTCCATCATTCAAGAATCAAAGACTTCAAACCTAAGAAAAAATCAAAATCAAAATCAAAATCAAAACTGGGTCATCAATCTAGAACAAGAATCAAACATCAGATTGACACGGTTAAAGCACCGAGAGAGAGAGCATCAGGGTTTACCTGAGAGGATCGATCACGATATCGACTAGAGGGTTATGAAAGAAAATTAAATACAAAAGCCGCGATATATATACAGATAGGGTTGAGAATGGGCTTCTCTTTAATGGGCCTACAGTTTTTATGAATCAAAATACCGATTTATGTTACTAATGGTATTTTGGTTTTAGTTTTTTCCAAAAAATTTACTTTATAGCTAATCAAAATTATGAGAAAAGTGATTTTCTTATAAATATGGAATCTAGATTTTGCTAGTTTTTGTCAAATTTCAAAGAAAATCTAAATTTTTTATTTCATTGGTTTTTCACTTTTAAACGTGGCTTGACTTCTTTTTTTTTCATTTTAATTTTCTGAAAACCATAGACCAAAATCCAAATTTTTAAATACTTGCAAACATTCATGGTCTTAGTGTTCCCTAAATTACACTAAAACGTAGCTGATAGAAAACCTTTTCTGCCCAGGACTTCTCATCCTCTTTAATGTCTTCTCTGCATCAAACCTTTTTTTGCAATAAAAAAACTGGATCACATTATTCCAATTATGAACTCCCGCATCCAAACTCTGCCCTTCTCTAATTTCTCGCAAGAGTTTCAACATAAATCATGCCTTTGTGTTTCCTTCGCAACCCTTTTAAGACTTCTAGAACTGGTGATTTCCGCCTTTCGGCATTTTGTCTCTAATTTCATGCATTTCCTATAACACATTGAGAGTTCCATGAGCATCTTTCTGAATTATGAATATTTTATAGACTTGTTTACTTCTAATAATTTGGTTTGATCAATTGAATTCTCATAATGAAAAATAGCTTTGTTATAATATTGGTTGAGGCTTCAACCAACATCCGTCTCTTAGGATTCTCCTATTTTGCTTTTGTCTCACCTTGTGTTATGTGAAAATTCTCATGGAAAGAATCACCTACAAGTCTACAACAGATCTCAATATTAGCTAAAATTGAATACCTATTGTTAATATATTTAATCTATCATGCACCCTTCCCTAACTTGGCAATATTTTGATGCGCTTCATGCGACCATATATAAGCTATAAGTATATGAGTCTTGGCCATATAGCATAAACCCCAACGTATAAAAGAAATTATAACATTCGTTTCCGGACTAAAATATCAGAATAAAACTATAATTAATAATCGATGTAAATTCTATCATATATATATACAGTATTTAGAATTTTAGATTATATAAGTTGTTTTGAAATGGATGTAACGTGAGAACAGCAAGAAAAGCAGAAGAAAGTCAATCTTCAATATATCGCAAACATAATTTGACACGTTATGAAAGAAGAAGAAGAAGAAGAAGAAATAGTACCAATTGTTGTCAGTCGACTTAGCTTTCATTGTTTTCTTGGTTGTTTCTCCAAAAGACAAACTTTTAATACAATCATACATCATACCAATTAGGCAATTAAATGAAATCATCAAAATTGTAGAACAGTGGAATACGTTATCACAATTTCGCTTTTACCCATTACAAAATTACTCAACTCGTAACTTTTGTTTACCATTCCGCAAGATATATTAATGATTTAGATCAAAATAAATTTAATCACTTTGAAGTTTTATATAATGCGATTGAATTTCCGTATCAATAATTGTAAAGAGATTCAATTTCCGAAAATAAAAAGGAAATATTATTTTCTACAAAAAAAATTAAGCTATAATTTTCTCAATCAAAGAATTAAGTTTCAACATTTATCTTCCTCCGGTTTACATTTATTTAAAAGGGTAAAAAACAAAAAAAGTTTAAAAGCAATTAATCTAACAGCATGCGATCGAGACAAAAATCCACGCCTCTCTCGATTTTCTCGTATCATTATACAATAACTACATTAACTTTAAAAAATTTTTTGTCTTGACTCGTTACAAAAAGTAAATAACATGAGTTTATACGGCAGCGTAATTAAATATATGCGACGTCAGCTGATCCGATGACCGTCCGATAAGAGAGAGACGAGAATGTCGGCGAAAGCTCTGATAATGAACTTGTGTGTATCAGCGGCATTCAAAGAGAGGTAACTGAGTAACAGCTCGTGCAAGAACTCGTAACGGCGAAGATCTCCGGCGTTTGTAACGGCGTCGAGCATCTCCTGCATTGATCGTCGGAAGTCGTTGTAAGGATCAGGAGATTGCACGTATTGTTTCACGGCTGTTCCTCCAGTGAGAAGCCTAGTAGCAGTCGTGGCAGTATCGTAATTATCGCGGCAGCGGAGATCCGGCGAGTCAGTGATTGAGTTGGAGCGACCAGGAGAAGAGAAGAAGAAGCGACGGGAGGCTAAAACGGCGGTTAAGTCAGGAGGGGGAGAGTCGTCGTCAGGGGCAAAACCGTAATTATCGGAGTCATCGTAGGAGGCCGAGGAGGAAGAAGAGTTAGCTGCGGTGAAGGTGGAGGCGGTGAAGGTGGAAGAGGGTTCAACGTCGTCGATGAGAGGCTTGGATAGGCGGCGGCGGTGGGCGGTGGAGGAGTCGTCGTAGAGGAGGTTGAAGTTGTTGATGAGAAGAATGGATGGGCGGTTGGGATCGTCGGAGGTGGGATCGGACGGAGATGAAGAGGGCGTGGTGAGATTTGATGGGAAGCAAAGATGGAAGTTTTTCCACATGACTCTTGGCATTGTTTTTGTTTTAGAGAGAAAGAGAGTGAGAATATGTATTGAGCATGTGGATTAGCTAGGTGTCTTATTTTGTTTGATACTACTATTGTATCATGCATGTATTTATATGTACATATGCTTTATATTTTGTACCACCATGTATTTATATAATGTATTATATTTACACCATGAATCGTGTTTTGCTGTGAATCTTAATATTTAAGACCAAATTTTAATTTTTACTCTTTATTATTCTTAGTTATTAAACTTATTTTGTTTGGATAAGATACAAATTTATGAAAGTATATTATTATATATTAACAGTAATCTTAACTTCGCATTTTTTGTTTATTCGTTGTGGGTTTTTAAATTTGAAGTTACCAATTTTCAATAATTCATAAACCTTTTTTTTTTTTTATATGGATTTGTGTCCTAGGAAAAAATGGATAACATGCTTAAAACTAAAATTTTAACATAATAGATTATAAAAATCATATTATGTTATTGTTGACAACAAAAATTTCTATTTTATTATTGATATTCAATCTTAATAAAATAAAATAAGAATTTAACATATGAAATTTCAATTAATTTTTTTTAAAAAAGGTAATTTATGCCATTTTTTTTGTCTAAAGTATAAGTGAAACAACTCAAAAAGCGAATCTGATGGTAAGTCAACTTTAAACATGAAAAAGCGCCTACGCGTAAAGTATTTGTTTTTTTGCTTAGATTTTGATAGAAGGGAAATAAGTTTATATACGGACAGGAAGATATTTCTATGTTTTCTCCATTATCTACATATACAAATTATATGAGTAAACTTCAATAATGAATCCAAAATAGTGTACTGTTTATCTTTATTTTTTCACTTTTTTTGTTTCTTAATGTAATGGGCAAAAATCTTGCGGTGAGAGCAAAACCTTTATTTTTTTTAGTAATTAGTTTTCTTCATTTCATTTAAGATCTCAAGACAATATATAAACCCTATATCAAAATTATTATCAAAGAAGGCGAATTATTGTCCTTGCAAATATAAACAGCAAGAACTCACGAGGAGGCAATGTTTGGACTAACCTAAACTGGCAATCTCATGACTCAAAGACGAAAGATCGATGTTTGTGCAAAGTACACTACTGACTCACTTAATTACTTCTCATTTCGCATCTTAACTAATATTTGTTCTCTTCCCTTTTTCATTTTATCTTTTGGACCGTTGTTTTTCTTAGCAACAAATTAACCGAAAGATAATGTCCCGATTAAGTTTGGGATAAATTTGCTCTTTGTTCCGCAAATCTATGTTCAAACAGCTAGACCAAAATGTATAATCGAGTAGTCCGAATAGAATATTTTGCATTAAACGTATTTTAAATTTACAAATCTAACCAATGTTTTATATAAAAAAAAGTTATAACACGGCGGTGGTACTAGTAGTCTAGTACAAGCCACTAGGTTATAACTTCAGAGCGAAGAAATATATAAAAAATGAGAATCCTATATTAATGAATATTCGCTTGAGAAATCTATGAATGGCAACTTTCTATATATCATCAACAATATTTAGATTTGATCAATCTCTGTCGACGAGAACCGGCCAAAAGTGGTGACTGAGTGACATGTCCTACAACATCACCCAATTTATACGTAGAAATATCGATCTATATATATACTAGATCGATAATAATATGGTAAGTCATAAATGCTTGTAATACGAAAGGCATTTATGCCCTAATCATTGTTTGGTGTATAAATAAAAAATGGTATCAAAATGTCAGATATGATTGTACAGCAACTTTTTGCCCCACAAGTTGTCATTTTCTTTGGAAGGTACATTGAGATCAATTTCTATTTTTGTATTATTTTGAATTCATCATATAGTTCTATTGGATTTATCACAAGAGGAATCTTACAAAAAATGCGAATGGGTGATTGTTTTCTTGGGGGTATATCTAGCTCTCTTATAATCTCTGTCACACAGTGTTGTTGCTATTGTAGGGACATGTCAAAACTTGTCGACAAAAACTCCATTAATGGGAAACATTGACATCAAGATACAAAATCACATGATTCTTGAACTTGTGAAAGTTGTCGAGTGTGAACATCAGACTCCATAAAACTCCATTGTAGATATCTTGTCATAAGACACTGTCACATTCAATATCGTTTTCAAACTCTCTAAAATACTGCCTGATTGCAATGTTACAATTTTTTCATGGCCCCACCAATCCCTGTGAACCAAGCTGGTTAGGGTCCAATTGTTTATTACTCTGATCCGACCCGGACCGGGCCGACCCAAGCCTTTTAAAGATAGGCCCAATAAGGCCCAAGGATTAAAATGTGATTTTTTTTTGATACATTGATCTGTTAGTTCTTGTTCTTCGCTCAAACCCTATAATATAATAATACTTTGGTTCCTCCGAGGTTCGAGTTCTTGTTCTTCCCAAGGCCGCTACTTCGGCCTTAGCATCAACCATTGTCGTATAAAGCTCGAGGTTTCATGGGCAAGAAAGAATGAACCATCGTTGAGATCTTCTGAAATTAATCAGTCTCGAAGTCTCTGGAGATTGTACGTTCTCTTCTTCCTTTTCATCATTCCCTCTTCGGTTTTAACGGATTCCGTTTTCGCTGATTTGCTGTTTCTGATTCACCGAGAAATCGAAACTCGTTTTCTTTTTTAACAAATATTATGCATGCGTTTGGATTTGGGTCTTTTCTTGAAAATCTTGTTTTTGTTTTGGTTAAAAAATTGAAAATTTGTTTTGGATCACAGTGTAGACAGTTCTTGAAAAACCAAATTTTGTTCTGAAACATGAAAACATTGTCTTCAATAGCAAAAATCTGTAGATGAGCCTTTTCTCTTGTGTGTATGGGAACTGAGCTATATCAATGGTTTAATTCGTGGCAGTATCTAGCATATGTGGTTAATGTTCCTTAAATGTTTCATGTTGTTCTTATTCAAGCTTCCATTGGTTTTGTGATTAAGTACAGGTCTTAAATCATGGACTCTATGGATATTGATCAAAGTAACAGAGGTGAATCGCCTCACCTTCTGCTGAGACCAGTAAGGCCAATGGAATCTGGTGAAGGTTTACCATATGCTCCTGAGAATTGGCCTAATCCCGGAGATACTTGGCATTGGAAGGCTGGACCGAGAGTTAGCGGTAAAGGCTACTTTGTGGATAGATACTTATATCCTCCTAAGCATCTTCCGGGTTTAGATACTGAAATATGGCGGAAAAATAAAGTATTTAGGAGCAGGCTCTCACTCGAACGATACATTCGTGTTACCTTCCCTGAAGCGGATGTTCAAAAGTTCTTTGCTTCTTTCAGCTGGAGCATACCCTGTAGAGATGGTCAGGTTCAATAAACTCTAGACCTATCTTATATGCTATACTCTTAAGTATATACAATTCCAGTTGACTTGACTTACTATGTTTTTCATTTTGCTTCCCTCATTGCATGTTTCTGTTAGTTCTTAACGATATGAATTACGTTTCATCATTCTCAACAAGTTGCTGATTTCTTGGCATGGTGATTTGTTCTTTGTTTGATAGGTGAGATGCCTCAGAAGCAGGTTCTGTTGCCAGTGTATAGCTCAGATGAGGATCCAATGCATGATAATGGATCTGATACTGCGGTTTGTAAGGCTGGTAATGACAAATGTGGGAGCCTGATGCCACAGTGTGAAGCCGAGACTTTACCTGCTATGCCTTGTGACATTTGCTGCGGTGAACCTAATTTCTGCTCTGATTGCTGTTGCATCCTTTGCTGCAAGTTAATAAGTTTGGAGCATGAAGGTTATAGCTATATCAAGTGTGAAGCTGTGGTTTCCGAGGGTCATATATGTGGACATGTTGCTCATGTGAACTGTGCTCTTCGAGCTTACATGGCTGGAACCATTGGAGGCAGCTTCGGGTTGGATGCTGAGTACTACTGCAGGCGATGTGACGCCAAAAAGGACTTGGTTCCACATGTCAACAAGTTTCTAGAAATATGTCAGACTGTAGAATATCAAGGCGACGTGGAGAAGATCCTGAATCTCGGTATTTGTATCCTGCAGGGCTCACAAAGAGACAATGCTAAAGAACTATTAAATTGTATCGAATCAACAGTCATCAAGGTATAATATACTTTTGTAATATTTACTGGACGTTCCTGAAACTAAAGCCTAATCTTTTCAGCTTAAATGCGGCACGAGCTTGGAAGATCTCTGGAATGATGATACACCAACTATATGGTCAGGTATATATCACGATCCTTTGCTGTGTGAATATGAATTGAAGTTGATTTAATGTTCATTATAACATATTATCTTCATTCTGGTTGTAGATTACTCCGACAGTGGAGAAGCTAGAGACAATGATACATTGCAAAGTTTACAGGACGTGACTCCAATTGGGCCCATACCATTCAACCATGAGGCTGAGATGCACAAACTCGAGGAAGAAATCGGCGAGGTTCTAAGAGCACTGAGAAAGGCTCAGGAATTTGAGTACCAAATTGCAGAAGGCAAACTTCATGCTCAGAAAGAATGTCTGAGTGATCTGTATAGGCAACTCGAGAAGGAGAAGGCAGAGCTGTCGAGGCGAGTATCAGGTACAGATGTGAATACCTTGATGACGAATGTGTTGAAGAGATTGGATCAGATTAGAAAAGAAGTCACAAAGCTTAAAGAAATGGAAGAAGTAGCCAAGGGATTTGGTAGGACACCTAGAGGAGTTCTTGAAGAGTACTTTCATCTAAGCATCGAGGACTAAGCACATCTGAGTTATAATCATAATTGTACATTCGTTATGACGTTTGTTTGCTAAGTTTTTGATTCTTCCTCGTAAATCTGAGTTTTGGATGATCATTTATTTATTCATTAATCAATTTACGAGTAACCAATGCACAGAATGTACAATGAAAAGGTCTTATTATTTCCAATTTATAATATTTATACGTAATCATCCTTCATAAAACGGGATTCAAAATGACAATTTGGAATTAAAACCTTGGAGGAGCCATCAATTAGCTAAATGACCTTAAAGAGGCACAAAACATAATGATAAACATCACGCAGAAGAAGATTTACTATCGAACATTCAAATTTTAGTGTTTAATATCTTTTACTGTGCCACATTATCACCAGTTGATAAGAACATTGTGGTGTTAAAAAAAAGATATATAATAAAACCGGTGTTCAAAAAAATAAAAAAAAAAACCAAAACCTAATCCCCGCAGAATCCGCCAGCCGCATCTTCTCCCCGCAAAATCTGCCAGCCGCTTCTTCTCTTCAGCTTTTCCTTCCGAAGATGAAGAAAACAAGAGTAAGAAGATGTGTAAGTTTACTATTCTTGATATCTAAGTTGAAATTTATTTTTATTTGAAGAAAACCTAAAAATTTCCATTGTTGTTCTTTTTTTTAAATTGTGCAATCGAGACATTTGCAAACTGCAAAGTACACTGACTCAAAAACAAGATTTAACGGTCCCCAAGATAAATGAAAAAGGTTGAAGTTTTAAAAGGTTGAACAAGACAATGTCATGTCTTCCTTCTCTAACATTCAGATTGATCCTAACAGCACAAGAAGTGCCATAAGCCTTACACATGAGAAGAAGCTTCTTCCTGAACCAGAAAAACAAAACTCTTACTGGTTCCTTTCAAGTCCACCAGACTTAATACCTTTATAATTCACTAACAAATCTTCAAGAGAAATCTGACCAAGTGGGACTATGAGAATGCAAGTCTTGGACGAGGATTTGATGTGAAATATGTGGTGAGAATGATTCGTAATCTCCTCCGAAGTCACGGATACTTCGGAAAGATCTCGGTTGTAATGGTTGTTTCCTATTCTCTCGCTAAGAATAAAATCAATCCTGATACCTATCAAGCCCTATGTTGAATCACTCACAGATCCTCGTCTGATTGTTAAAGATCTAAAAAAACGTAATTAACTTTATTTTCTTAATTCTTGGTTCTTGATTAGTTAGTTATTACGATATTGTCGAGATGGATTGTTTATGTTTTAAATTATCTAAGAGGTATTTTTTTATAGTTTGAAAGTAGTACAAAAAATGTTCTGATTCGTCGATAATCGTTTCAAAGCGCTATAATTCGTCGATAATTGTTCCTCAATCTTAAATTCTACAAAACCAATTGAAAGAAATTTATGAATTTTTTAAGAAGATAGTGATTATGATTCTTAAAAAAAAAAAAAACTCACATTCTTCATTTTGTTACGATCTTCGACACTTAATTCAGAGGATTTTTCATAGGGGTGTCAAAATGGTTCAATACACATGGATTCATTGCTAAAACTAAAAAGTAAAAAATAATATATATATTAAGGTTTACTTTTTGCTAAGAATTAAAAAGTAAAAATAATATATATATGTAAAATATCTTTTAGGATGCTATTTCTATTTTAATATCTAGATATTTTTAATTTATTACTTGAAAACTTCTGTTGGTATTACAATTATATGTTATATTTGGATTTTTATTTTTTATTTATTCTATTTTATTTATATATAGGTACCTATATAATTCACTTAGCCAACTAATTTTACGGTTTTGGGTTTGGGTATGTAAATTCAACCCACATAAATAAATGGGTCGAGTCAAACCCATCCACCAAAATTTCGAACTCATGTGGATTTGGTTCGGATCGGATTGGATTATTTGACACCCCTAATTTTCGCTATCTTCAAAACACCTGAAAAAGCTTTGATAAAAACAATAAATTGAGTTTTCACAGTGGGCCGGCCCAACCCTAAAATGGGTTTGATAAAAAAAATTAGACTTGTAGTTAGGGATTTAACAGTTGGTCGGCCCATGTGTCGAAGATAGCGAAATTCATGGAACCCAAAATCTAAAAACTTAAACTTGATTCCGTGTAGTTCGCTATCTTCCACACCTGGAAAAGCTTTGATAAAAACATTCGTTACGACGTTTGTTTGCTATGTTTTTGATTCTTCCTCGTAAATCTGAGTTTTGCCTGACCATTATTCATATTCATTTTACGAGTTACAATGCATATAAGGTACAATGAAAAGATCTTATCATCGTCAATATTCTTACATAATCATCCTTCATAAAATGAGATTCAAAATGACAAATTGGGATTGAAACTTGGAGCCATCGATAAAGAGACAAATACATGGTGATAAACATAAAGCAAAAGAAGCATAATTGTTTTGTTTTCTCTATGCAAGTTCATACTGAGGAGTATTTGTGGAAGCTTCACGGTTTTTAAGCCTCTGTCTCCGTTGAGCTCTTTTCTGTTTGCGAGTTTGCGTTTTGCTAGCAGCCTTTGAAATAACTGGCGCAGGAATGCTCTCTGTTGGTTCTGAACCACCAAATACAATGTCAAGAACATCTTCTTCCGGCATTTCGCCATCTGAGTTTCCCTGAAAATAAGATTTCAAATAAAATATTGGAAACCGGTTCTTGTCCAAACTGATGCCTAAGCATTTGCATAGGCGTCAGAATTAACAACTAAGACTAGATAGTACTCACAGAGCTATTTTGGAGCATCGGTTTAGTCTTTGAAGCATCAGATCCATTGGAAATGCTTCGATGAGAAGGGTTTGGTAAGCCATTGGGGTTTCTCTGAGATTTGGTTGCATTGACATCATCATAAGAAGAGGCAATTTCGGTGAAAGTGGTTCGTCTACGCCAACGCATTTGAGGTTTGTCTCCTTCATCACCGTAAACAGATTCGGGGTAAAAATGCTTGGACATAAGTTGCCACCTCCAATCTTCACCTCTATTGGACCTGACTAAGCTGTAGTTTGGAATGAAGAAGAAGAAAAATCAAGCTAAGACAGATATATTGCATAATACAAGCATCTATCAGGCGCAAATCAATAACACAGTAAGTCTCAAGAAGAGTGAGCTCGCTCTCAAAGATGCTTACACATTGACAAGCTCTTTCTGCATTCGTGTTGCATCTTGACTAAGGATATGATCAAGGCATGAAACTGCATTTTTGGAACTTGCCCGATTCCAAGCAACAACAAAAGTCGCAGCAGCCACTCCTGCGTCAAGTTAAAAAAACATTTTTAAGACAATCGAAACAGGAGTGTGAGAAACCATGATCATTTACAAATAGTTACCAGTAGCAAGAGCAATCCTCTCAAGTCCTTTCGGCTTTTTCAACTTCTTTGTCACTACAAGAAAACACCACAGAAGAGGAATCAAAAGCTAGCTATCTATTACAAATTTGGGTTACACAAAGGAAAACAAACTTAACTTTTCCTCATAGAGGAGCCAATGAATGAAGAAGAGTCGATGGAGGAATTACGAACCTTGCCAAGTTAAACCTCCCCCTACACCAGACGCAAAACCAGCAGTCCACAAAACTTTGAAATGGCAAGAGATAATAGCACTAGACTCTTCAGGCGTTATCTTCTCCTACAACAGAGCAAAAAAACAATCAAACATTTTTTTTCCCAAATTTGAACAATTCAATTCATACAATTTACACACATTCTCAACTTATTCGAACAATATCGATTCAGAGGAAAACTAATCGAACAAAGAAACAATCTTGCTGAATTTTGAAACCTTTATCGGTCGATTATAGATTGGGTAAAACTTGATTGAGAAAAAGAGTTGATTTTTTTTTGGAATTTTTCTAGGGTTTAATTGAAAAGATAAGAGAGTAATCTACCTGCTCGGGTTTTGTCGCGAGGACATAAAATAGCTGATTCAAAGCGGCCATAGTCATCGTTGTTCTTTCAGAGCTAGTTCCCAGAAACGAATCGAAGAACAAGTGTGTGATTACTTCTTCTCTCTCATCAAAACTTATAGTCAGGGAAGAACCGGTTCGAATCTGATCATGTTCGGTTTAATAATTTGGTTAAAATTATACCGGAACTTTTTCCATATTAACTGAGGGCCAAAAACCAAAGTGGAGAAATATTAACCGAATTAAACCAAATTCCAACTAAAATTTGTATGTAAGAAAAGAAAAAACAACAACAAATCGTTAACCAAAACGTAAACCATATTTACCGATAGAACAACACCTATCTTTTGGTTTACAAGAAGTCTTTAACCAAACGAAAGCGTTTACGTTTTACTGATTGGATTTCTCACAGTGAACCGAGAAAGGACAAGGAAACAATTACTACACATTTGAGTCATTGAGTACAACTAGACAGTAACAATAACAAGTACTTGTTCTGACTATACCTAAAGCTTAATACAAAGGAACCAAAAAGGGGAAACTTTTTTGTTTCTCATAAGTTTCTAAGTTGGTGTCAATGTGCTAGCCTTTGATTCTGCTTCACTATACAAATTCCCTGAGGCTGAAAACATCCAGAAAACCTCCCGATTTACATTCTTTGCTGCTCTAAACACCATGTGTTTGATGAGATCCATTGTTAGTGACAACAAACTCGAACTATCATCCATCACCGAGCTTTTGCTGTACTCAAGAACCCATGTGTTTGAATCTAGTTGCAGAACCGATGCGCTCCATTTGGTTTTCCTCCATGAAGTATTGGTCTCGCGCATCGTGTAACCGAATTTCCCCTCGGTCCACTACAATGAGAACAACCAAACATAAGAATCATATAAACACAACTTTGTCAAAACCAAAGCAAGGACAATGAAATATATTCAAACAGTAAGGCAGTGGAAGAATATATTTAGATTGGTTACCTCAGTTACTCGGCCTGATAACACGGTGATCGAACTTGAGGAGAAACCGGTATAGAACAATCCAGATGTCTGCAAAGGCCATCCCCATATACTCACCTCTTCAATGGCTGATTTGTACAGAACACACTTTGAGTTCAACAATGGACCATCCTAGAAACGTAATCTTCAAATCAGTCAAAGAAAATTACAAACTTTGAGAAACATAAATGTAAGCTAATAAATACCTGAATGATTTTCCATTTAGAATCAGAACCTATGCAACTCGAAAACTTGCCATTGTTAACAAAACCCTTCAATTCGTCTTCCAAGAGTCTCAGCTTCACTCCCAGATCAAGATCAGCATCAGTTCTCTCACCAGCTCTCCTCACTATCTCCTCTGTAAATTCGGATTTCAAAACCCCTTTAAACACCCAACTAAACCCTAATTCCAAACCCAGAACCAACCCAATCATCAAAATCACTTTCAGAACAACACGAATCAGTGAACTTCTCTCGTTCTTCTTCGTCGTCTTCTTTGGTTCGGAAACTGTTGATTTCTTGATCTGTTTCTTCTTCGGCGAAGAGATCATCAACTTCAGTATTGGGCGAGAAACAGAAGCGGGTGTGGTGACCACCGTCGGATCAAACGAAGTCGGAGTAGATTCAACGGTGGATTTGAAATTGGAAGCAAAAGAAAGCTTAGTGAGAGAGCTTTTTTGAACACTGAGAGGCATGAGATCAAGCGTTGCGTTGAGACTGTCAAGACAAATCTCGCAACTGCAATTCGCATCTTTACGACAATCTGGGAAGTAACAATTACTGTCTCTTCTCTCCCAATCTTCCGCTGATACAGTAGTTGTACTAGTCGTCGTTGTTGTTGTGCTCGATGTCATTGATTTCTCCGACGGTGAAACTAATATCTTTCCTTTCGTGGTTTCTTTGTGTATCTTTGGCCCTAGATTTCTTCAATCTCTATCTTATTTTTTAATTTTATTTCCTTTCGTTTTGAAATTTAAATGTCAAGTCCCAACGGTCCTCTGATCTCGGCAGTTTTGTTTTACGTAAATGACTAACATACCCTTCCCTAACACGTGTCTTTCTCGTTTCTTTGCATGGGCCGGATTCTAGTTTGGGTCCAGTTATTTCCTTTTTGTTTCGAATTGGGTTTCACTTTTATTTTATGTGATTTAAACCCAATTTTACATGTTAACAACTTAACATATGCATACATTCACAACTTCACCCCGCACATTTAATGTAATCCAAATCTATAAAATTGTTTTCTCTAACGACATTGTTTTAAGGAAACGTCAAACGTTATTAATGATTCCTTGCGACTTGTTCAAAAACACATCACAAGTTTCTTATATATTTGTAACAATGACTAATATTATCAATTTATGTCCATGGATCTAGCTAGCTAGTACTTAATAGTTAATACCATAACAAGAAATAATCATTCGTTAAAAGCCAACCTAATGAATGTTAACAAACATATCCAACTCCAAATGATAAGTACAAAAGTTTCATGTGAATTGTTTTCTAGTTAAGGTAATCTCTCAAAGCAATGTAATTTAGATAGTCTTCATAGTTTTTCCGAAATTTATATTGGAAAATGTCCAAGGTATAATATATGTATGCTCATCCTAAGTAAGTAGCCTAACTTTATGAATCGTTGTATTGGAAAATAATTAAAGTTTCGCTGGAAACACCGACCATAAATACTTGAACGTGGCGTCATATAGATCCCATTAGAAGTATTTGTGTTTAGTTCACCGAACTAGTATTACTAGAGTTCGGAAAAACGGTCTATTTCCCCACGAGAAGTATGCGTATCACGCCAGATAGAGCCCGTTCTTTGACCTCGGTCTATATCTCCACGAAATGAAAGTTCAATTCTTATTTCCCTCCGAATCGAAAGTTCTATAGCTTAATGTCCCCGAAACTGGGTTATATTGGTTTACGCTTTCAACCCAAAGTAAATCGAATACCAAACCGAATACCAAACCACTAAAATTTGATTCTAAAATGAATTAAAAAATGATCGACCCGTAAATGATCCGATCCGATATCATCTTCTTCTTCACACAATTCTTCAATCAACAAAAACGATTTTGATAAATTTGATATCAAAATTACAAAAGCTCATTGGAGAAATTCATTGTAATTAACAAATAATCAAATTCAATTGTAATTTCCACTTTCTGATTTCACTCCCTCTGCCTTCACCCTCTCCGACCACCACCACCATCTCGACCTATCTCTCTCACGTGAAGACTCGATTTTCTTCGACTCTACTTTGTCTCTCTTCAAACGTCACCACCTCGCTGAGTCAACTCAGTTGGATCAGCTCTTCTACAAATCGACGAGTCAACCGTAACCACCTATTTCCCAACGACGCCGTCGCCGCCACCGCACAGCTTCTTCACTTATCAGATCTCAAATCCATCAAACAACTGAAGTGGAAGAAACAATGAAGCTGTTTCCATCTCTCTCCCCTCCTCCTCTTCCCGTCGCGAAACGTCCAAAAAGCTTCTTCACTCGTCTTCTTCTTCAACAACCTTCGGATCTACGACGGCGTCTTCGTCACAAACGACCTTGTAGATCGCCGATACGGTTTTGATTTGAATCTTCAAGATCTACCTTTGGGTTGATTCGATTTGTTAATTACGGGCATATTTGTGTCTACCATTGTTTGGGTAATGTGGCTCTGTTTGTTGTTTACGATTGGGTTTGAGCTCTACGAAACTAATCGGTTCATGCTTGATATAGTTTTGATCTGGTCAAATTATTATGTCAACGAGTAAAATTGGGTTTATTCTGGTTATAATTAGATTTAGTTGGTTTGTTTATCGGTTTTGTATACATTAAACCGATTAAACCCAGCTTTGTGGGGTTTTAGCTCTCGAATTTTTGTTTCGGGGACATTAAGCTATAGAACTTTCGATTCGGAGGGAAATAAGAATAGAACTTTCATTTCGTGGAGATATAGACCGAGGTCAAAGAACGGGCTCTATCTGGCGTGATACGCATACTTCTCGTGGGGAAATAGACCGTTTTTCCGAGTTCTTCCGATATTACTTTCTTTGGCGAAGGATTACGAAACTAGATTCTGGTGACACGTTATCTCGTTAACTTTAATCAAGTTATGATTTAATCGTTTTCTTTTCGTCACGCCACAATTTATCTGATACAAAAATTTAAGTACTTCCTAAAATAGATACTACTTTTCATTATCAATTTCTTTCTTTTGCTACATATATATGACACCATTTTCTTGACAATGATAAATGCTATTAATTTCATAACTACATCTTGTTCCATAATAATATATTTTCGAGTGGTTTTTGCTTAGCCAAACTCAATTAAATTAAATCCAAAAAATAATCAAATTCAAAAACTAGCTTTCTTTGGTAAAAGTTAGTTAAGGTAGTTGAGTATCAAAAGTCAAATTCCAAACCAACTTCAAGAAATTACCTTAATACCTTTTTTCTCCACTATATATCATGTACACATCACAACATAAACAACACAACCATTTCATTTATACAAAACCCAAAATTAACAAAACAATATTTGATCGATTTACCAAAATTCTCTTAACCGCTAAATTAAAGTCTAAACACAAAAATGAACTCCAAGATTTTCTTCATCTCAGCCGCATTAATCTTCTCCCTACTATCAAATTCTCCAATATCGATTCTTGCTCAAATCAATACTCCATGTTCACCAACCATGCTCTCTAGCGTTACAGGGTGCATGAGTTTTCTAACGGGGGGTGGTAGTTCTCCGACCTCAGATTGTTGTGGGGCTCTTAAATCGTTAACCGGAACCGGTATGGACTGTTTGTGTCTGATTGTAACTGCAAGTGTTCCACTCAATATACCTATAAACCGAACTCTAGCCATCTCTCTTCCTCGTGCGTGTGGCATGCCTGGTGTCCCCGTTCAATGCAAAGGTATCTAACGTCTATATTATTATTCTTTTTTTTTATTTTTAATATAATTCTAGGTCCTACTTTGTTTCTTTTTGATGTTTGATATCTATATATCGACATTAATCGACATTTTTTTAGTTTTTCAATTGAATTTTGTTTCTTTCGTATCTCATTAAAATATTTGTGAAACTTTGCAGCTTCTGCAGCACCTCTCCCTGCTCCAGGTACTTATATTTTGTATAAATTTATTGATAGACTCCTTAGACCATCTTTATTGGGAGGTGCTTAACTTGGTTCTTAACTTGGTTTTTAGCTCAATTAAAGGTGCAATTGATGATTTTGCTAAGGAATGACTCTTAGCTAAGCACCAAAAATTGGGTTAAGAACCAAAAATTGGGCTAAGAACCAAAACTAAGCTTCTCCCAATAATGTTGCTCTTACAATCATACTTTAATTTGTTACTATTTATTTAAATCAACAAAAGCTCATATATAGTTCATAACTCACAGGTCCTGCGTCTTTCGGTCCGACCACTTCTCCTACAGATTCACAAACTTCGGATCCTGAAGGTACTCGCAAACTTTTTACTGCAACTTCTAGTTCTAACTCCTAAACATTTTGTTCACAATTTGTTTCTAAAAGATTTTCGAGTTTGTTGACGTCACGTAACTCGCAGGGTCTGCTTCTTTCGGTCCACCCACTTCTCCGACAACTTCGCAAAATCCTAATGGTAAACCAAATAATTTGATACTTAAGAATGTTAGTTCTAAGCATTTTTTCACATAATTTGTTACTAATATTTTCGAGTTTATTGACAATAGACCAGGATTACAGCGGATCGGGCAACGGAGGAGACACAATGGGGTTTGGTCCACCACCTCCTTCAGCCTCGTCTTCCTCTTCGCACTCTCTCAAGCTTTCACGTCTTCTATTTGCCTTCGTTTTAATGATTATCAAATTCATCTAATTAACTAAAGAGCAATTCCATAGAATATAAGATGTACGATCTTGATACTTTCATATTTTACCTGATTCTGGTTAAAATAATGTTTTAAAGTTTTGTTGTATTTGATGTACCTGTATTTAATAGTCCTATTAATAAAACAGTTTCCATAATTTTATCCACACCAAATCATGCATTTAAAATGATACTCTGCAAAAAAAACCAAAGGTTCAGAGATAGACAAGAAGAATATATGAACAAATCCAAAGCTTGGTCCATCCACCAACATTTTTCCCTTATTACCCTATTTTTCTAATTTACTTCCACCCATCAGACCACTCATCTTCTTCCTTGGCTACAAAATCACCTCTGGTTTCAAATCTACCACCATTCTTGATCTCTTCACCACTGCCGCCGTTTTTCAACCCATCAGAACATTCTTCTTTTTCCTGTGTTCCACCATTGTTGTGTCCCCCATCAGACCAGACATCTTTTTCCTTTGTGCCGCCATCGTTGTTCCACCCATCAGAACATTCACCTTTCTCTTTTGTGCCACCATTCTTGACCTCGCCACTATTGTTCCACTCGGCTTCTGGAGGGTATTGAGGAGTGTTGGTGCTTCCTTCTTGATTGAGCCCCTTTGTGCCGCCATTGTTGTCCCACCCATCAGACCATTCATCTTTGTTCTTTGTCCCACCCCCATTGTTGTTCCACCCATCAGACCATTCACCTTTCTCATTCGCACCACCATTGTTGAGCTCTCCACTGTTGTTCCACTCAGCTTCTGAAGGGTATTGAGGCCCATTGCTGCTTCCTTCTTGATTAAATGGTTCCTCCACAAACTCCTCCCGCTCTGGTAAACCGCATCCTTGGTAAGCATTGTTATCCACACATCGCCACAAAAGCTTGTTCCAGTTCATGTCCTGTTTCATATAATAGTTTTTATTAGTTGAGTTATTGGGAATGATGTCAACGCATTATGTCTTTGTCCAGAATAACTAAGTAAGTGGTACCTTGCATATGATATGTGGGTTTCCGATGATCACTAGCAGAGAGATTGCACGGGTTATGGCGACATTAAACCTCCTTGGATTACTCAGGAAGCCCAGACAATAGGCTCTATCGAACTCATTGTGTTTGATAGTAGATCTTACAGTTGAAATGATAATTACCTGTTTCTCTTGACCTTGGAATTGCTCTACACTACCAACTTTGACTTCAGTCATATCTAACCTGTCAAGAACCTCCTTGATCTTCATTACTTGCTGCCTGTAAGGAGTTATAACTCCAATATCCTCTTCTTGCACACAGTCATTCGCTGTTAATCTCTTGATTGTCTCTATAACTTTGCTGATCTCTATACGGTTGAACCAGGACGGATTGTTACCTTCCCTCTCATCGCATCCTTGGATCCCATAGAAAACCATTGGAAATTCTTTGTTCGGAAGGAAGTTTAACGAGGCAAGAACAGAGTCTGCGTCTTCTTTGGAAGCTACCAGTTCTCCATCATAGAAGAGCTTTGACGGGAGATCAAGAATCTCTGGGTGGCATCTGTAGTTCTTAACTAGCTTTGTTACATAATTCTCATCCCCTTCGCAGTAATAGTCACACTCAAACAATCTTTCCAAGTATGATTTCCCCAAGCCTAGTGAATCAGCATCTCTTGAGTATATAACCGGACCCAACTGCCTTGGATCTCCAGCAAGCACAACCACAGTTTCTGTCAGGCAGAGATTTGATACAGCAATCATATTTTCAGGCTCTGAAGCTTGACCAGCCTCATCTAAGAAAATATGAGTGAAGTGACCACGATTTACACCTTCTGCGTTAAGAAGGGATGCACTCATATAAGTTGACACAACGAGTTTGTAACGAGTCAAAGCTTTGAGAGGCGGGCACTTGAAAATTAACTCATCAAAGAAGCAAAAGCGGATAATCTCAGGCTTGATTTCTTCATATGCGCGAGTAGCTGCATTCAGCCTGAAAATCTCATTGTCCTTGATGCGAACTCCCTCTAGACAAAGGAGCTTCTCTAAAATATGATCAGCTGCACTATTGGAGGGGGCACAGACAAGAACCCGAGCATTTCTCTGCGTCGTATAAAGTTGAACTATAGCCTCCACCAAAGTCATGGTTTTCCCAGTACCAGGAGGTCCATGGATTACATATGGTGGTGCTCCTTTGCAGCCAAGAACCATTTCAATGGAACAAATCTGCTCTGCATTAAGAGCTGGTGAAATGGGCACGAAGGGTTTTGTCTTTATCATCCTTTTCCCAGAGTGCAGGGATGGGAAAAGGAAGTTTGGATCCAACATTTCTGCCGCATCGACAGCCTGATACAACCTTCTAGTGTTGATTCGATTGTATGTGAACCTCACATTATAGACACTCCCAGCTGTGTGGCGTTGGTGGAACTCAGGGGCAAACTTCAAATGTACTTCATCCGCCTCTACGCGGTGTACAAAGCCCTGTGAGAAATTGATTTCAATTTTTTATCCTCTAGAAGATAAATGGTGAAACATATATGCAGTTGTGAAGTTATCTGAAATTGTGAAAAAGTAAATCAAGAAAAAAACCTGATAAGCATGGTCAGTTCCATCATCATAGGCATGTCTTACAAAGATGAAGTCTCCATGGACAAGGGAAGGTCTTCTCTCAGCAAGGCCAGGAACTTCGAGGGACAAATAGATACCCCTTCTCTTCATCGAAACATTCTCCATATCATAAGCTCGCATGTCTTCCTAAACAACGAAAAAATTACAAGAAACATCATTCATGGCAAAAATACAAGAGCTTTATTGAGGTAGTAGTAAGTTCCTGAAGAATGAGGATACCTCAAGTTGTATTTCTTCCATAATCAATAAAGTTTTATAGTAGTTTGCATAGTTCCTTGGTGTAAGACCTTCGTTCAAATCATCAGGGACTTCCTTATTCTCGATCATCTCTCTAATATCCTTTGGAATCTCATACCGAGGAAGCCTATTTTTAAACCTACGTTGTTCTACCACCTTTGAAGGACGTGATCCCATGACATAATCTTCCACAGAAAAATCTTTCTTCGGAGCCCTCTTACTTCTTGAGTAAGGCCTATTAGAAGTCAGAGAACTCGATATCTTATCCTCAGCCAAAAGGAAAACAACCCGCTCAACCCTATCACTTCCCCAGTCAACAGTAACAACAGTGGTATGTAAACCGATGTCCTTGGGCTTACAAGACACCCAAATAGTTAAAGTGTCACCAGGTTCAAGCATCCTATCTTCCAGAGTAAAAGTTTCATAAAAACACTGTCTCTCTTTAATATCTGAATTTTTCGACGGCGGTTTCAAGATCGAGAGAGTAAACGAATCCTTAGGGTTAGATGCATAAATTTTAGTCCACAAATCCACAGGCTCATCCGTAGTGTTCTTGACAGTGAAAGAATCAAAAGAAGTCTCTCCAACAGTTACCGATTGAGGCTTCTCGTTCTTAAAAGGGAAAGGAACAGAAACAACAACTGGACCTTCATCGAATGGATTGTAGCAACCAGCAGATCCATCATTCTGATAGTCAATAAATCCAATCTCTCCCTTGTCCGCGATTACAGAGTATTCGTCATCCGATTTGTATCCACTCACACTCATTGCTGATGATGACAATCTGAAACATAAAACACACTTCGTTGATTATAAAAACACACTTTCTACCACACGCGCATGTAATGATCACAGCACGACACTAAGCTATTCTAAGGTACAGGAATTTGAGTAGCGAGAACTAGAACTCAGAGCATAATAAAACCCTAACACAAAAAACGAAATTGAGCATGAGATTAAACGAAATTGAGAGGATTGATCATACGTACTATATCTGTAGCAAAATGGATGATACTCTTTGCTTCGATCACACCAAGAAATGGAGAAGCAATGAAGCCAGACTAACGCAGGCTTCAAAGGAGTGAGAGTGAAGAAGACTGAAGAGTCGTAGAATATTAGAAATTGCTGAAATTGGAATTAATTCGCTTAAGTAAAGCACGTGGATCAAATATTGGGCCCTTTGGGTTTGGTATATGTTAATGGGCCTACGAGGTATTCATAAGCTAAAGGGTTTCGATTGTTAATCCCAAACCCAATCGATTAGTTACACTCACTTTGTTCGTGATTGATAAATGAAAACTTATCTTCATCTTTTTACACGGACAACGGTGATTAATTTATCGCTTATGTTCTAAGAATTGACCTTTGGAGCCGTAATTATTGGACTCATGCATAATAAATAAGATCATAGATTCATAGTACATGATACATGTTAATCCACATCGAAATTCTAGGGAAATAATTATTGTGATATATAATCATATTGTTATAAAATCTACTGATTTAGATGATTGGATTTAGCGTTTAGGTATAATTGAAAACACAGCGTCTTAATGAAGGTTCATTGATTTGATGGGGATATATTTTATGGATTTTAAAGTTTACATGATGGTGCTACAAATACGTGTTTATATCCTATATGTATTAAGTACTATTATTATGTTTCTTGAAAAGCTAACGGCCTTAGATGTTGTTACACTAACAGTCATTAATTATAATCAATTCAATCACTATGAGGCGATTTAATTGTGGTATTCCTTGTTTGGTTTATATGGTACGAGAGATGTCCGAATCAATAACTTTTTAAAAAAGTACAAGTATAGCAAATTACATTTCGTGGTAAGGCCTAGACAAAAAGAGACAGAAATTGGTACTAATTGCTAACTAGTTGGGTAACAAGAGGAATCTTAATAGAATTGTAGATTTCGTTATGTGTTTCTTTTCTGATTGAAGTGACAATATGTTAGCCCTCCTTGAGTGTCTTTTCATAGCCCGTGGCTTTTGTTCTTGTAAAATATAGCAAAACTAAAAGACCTAAACATACAAAGATTAGATAGATGTTGTATAGTTCAACAAAAAATGTGTGGAATTGGTAAAAATTGAATAAAAGAGGCATGCTGTTTTTGTTAGTCTGATAGCATTAATAGCCTATCCTTTCCCACTCTCAAAAAGCCTATACCATTCAAATCTATATGTTCTTTATCCGACCTTGTTTTTTTATTACAATATGTTTTGACATTTTTTAATACAAGAGAAACACTATATCCTTATAAAGATAAATCATAATTTTACTTTATATTGACTCGTATACATCATAGATCACTAGTCTTTTTGTTGTCTATGATTTTATTAGTTGTACATGTATTTGCTTATACTGGTTATGACAAAAAAAAATTGGTTAAACTGGTTATGATACCAATTGTATAGTACCCTTTGTTGGCTCAGGCTAGAAATACAATACAAATTCTCAGATCGAAAAGTATAGCCATTGGGAAATAAGTGACTTTTTCGGATGACTCATAACTCATAAGTGACTGATATTGATAGTTGAATATAGATTAGTGAAACGCATCAACCTTTTTTCTTAACTGATGGATTTTATTCTCATATTTTCCAAGTTAAGTCATAGTATATACGAAAAATCACTGGGAAGAATATGTTTTTAAACGAGATTATAAAATCAAGCTGGTTAAACGAGATTATAATTGAATAATCCACATCACTTTTGCTTCTATTGTAACAAAAAAAATTCTCTTTTTATGTGGTAAAATATTTTTTAAAATAGGAAGGAATTATCTTGGAAAAAAACACAAGTGATCATTGTCTGTGTAATTAATCATATGGCTCCGAATTTTACAAGAATCTTCGTTTGTTTATTACAATTAACAAAGCGTTGTTGTGAATGTGATCAACAAAAAGCTGAAAGAAGAAGACAAAGCATGAGGAAACAGATAAAAGACAAAGCATGATTTACACAAAACACTCTCTTCACTTTCAGGCTCTCTTTTTTAGTTTTTAATCATTCCCTTCTACGTTAACTGGTCCAGTCTTTGTCTCTTACATATATTGTTTTTTTATATAAAAGTTGTATACACAAATCGATTTCTCGGTTATTGAAAAAGTTCTTAACGAAATTTTGTACCCCCTTTGAATCTTTGAATTTGTTGGAAAATAAATTCTTTGAATTTGTCGAAAGCAACATGTCACCTAAGTGAATCTTTGACATAGTTCTTGTTAACAAAATGTACAATTAAGTAATAATACAAGAAGTTTATTTAAAATTAAAAGCAAAATTAAACATTGAATTTAAATAGTCAAAAAGAACAAAAGAGATGAAGTGAGCTGCCTTTGAGGTTGTCAAGCAACCCAAACTTTTTTCAGTCCAACGATAATTACAAGACGGTATCAGTTCACTTTTCCTTTTTGGAAATTATCATAAATAAAGTGGAATTAGAATATTTCTTTTTGTATATTTTCAGATATTCTTGACGTAAACCTTATATAAATAAGCATTACAATATGATTATCTAGGGGGCACACTACTAAATAAGAAAGAAAAGAAAACGATATTTTCCTTAATGCTAATTGCTAAATCAAAAGAATGAGAATTAAGAAAGAAAAAAAATCAAAGAACTTCCATCTGTCCACTTGGCAGTTTCTGATTGGGTTAGTTTTGCCTGCACAACGCAAAACACAAGTTGTGTAAGAAAAAAATGATTACATTACACACTTAGTAAAAAAATAAAATTCTAAGCAACAATAAAATTCACTAATCAGCTAAAACTATTACCTTATGACGTTGCTGTAAAATTCACATTAACTAGAGTTAGCAAAAACCATGCTATGAACCGGATAGGCCTCAGAACCGCCGGTATGTGAAAATTGGTTAACCGAGGCCAAAATTATAATACAACAAAACACATTCTACACCTGCAAACCGGAAATTATAAGTTAAAAAACCGAACCGGAAACTGAAAATGTAAAAAAAAAAAGAAGTTTTTTGACCAACCTGTTTCCTTTTGAGTTAAAGTGGCAATGGAATGTCTCCATCACTCTCAAAGAACCAAAAAACTTTAGTTCACCTGACAAAAGCCAATCCAATTCTACCATGAGTGAAAACATTTCATAATTTTCTGAAGATTAGCACAAAGTTTATAGCCAATAAAGTTTAATCTTTTTTGAATTATTATGATTTATTGCTGATGCATTGCAGAGCTTAAAGCAGTTAATAAGACCCAAAAAAAGAAGACAAAGATTTGGTAATATGCAGTGGACAATCTTATCAAGATTCAATGTTGAGTTCCTTATCCTAATCAGATGCAAAACCAATGGGGTCCCTTTCTTTCTGAGGAAATCAAAATCAGTTGGGTGATCTTTAAATGATCTGAGAGAAGGAATTCCCTCATTTCTTGGTTGAGATTACATCTTTGCACATAAATGCAGAATTGTAGATTGGTCTCTCTATAGACTTGCTCTATTTGAATCTCATGAGGACCACAGATACTTATGGACTTCTTTGGTTTTGGACCAGCTCAAGTCACTGACACAGTGACTCAACATTTTTATCTATTTATGTCTTAATTTGTCAGTTTGGTGACAATTAATCTAACTCTTTCAGGCTCAAGTTTAAACCTAAGATGTAAAAGAAAAGAGAAATGAAAGAAAAGTTACCGCAAAGAGCAGAAAAAATGGAAATCTGTGTGTTTCTAGAAGAAGCTGAGCTCGGTGTATCCACGGGAGTAAGGTAAGAGTTCTTCAGCTTGGACCCGTGAAGTGGAGTAACTCGTTGTTCGCTTTAACCTATTATGAGCTGACTCAACCTCTGCACAGAAAATGCCATAGACCGGTCTATGATCTGAGAACCGTGACTCTCCTCTTACATAAGATAACTGATGCAGTCCTTCACCAAACCACAATATCCTATCACACCTATTATAAGAAACCAAATGTCAGATGAAAGATTCATATAGCAGCAGAAGTTCTTGTTTTCTTGCTGTTAAATACGGAAACATACCAAGCAGGAGTGCGACGTTTCTCCTTGGGATGCAGATCGTCTCCAGAATATCTATCTGAGTTCCTTGAGTACTTGTACGTTGGTGGGAAATAGATCTTTCCTTCATTCCATCCCTTAAACACATGGCCTCGTTTCTGCTCAATTCTTAACTGCAAGTAAACATTTTCCAGATAAGAACTTCTTGTGCCATTTATTCACACCATTAGGATCTAAGTATATCTACAAACGTACCTGGTCGTTTTCTAGTAAAGCTCTCCAGTTCTGCATCTCAACGAGTGCTTTGGCAGATCGGTAAGACAGTGCTATACGGTAGTTTAGATCGCCAAGCCATATTACCCGGCTGGTAAAAAGAAATAATGAATTAGATCAATAGACTGGTAAAAAACAAAAAAAAAACTGTTTCTTGAAGTCCAATTTCAAAGTATGAGAAGTAAGTTTCATCAATCTTACTCATGCTGAAGGATGTTCTCAGGGGACTTTTCTTCCTCTGAACTCTTAACGCGAGGAAATCTCGTTTTCTTGAGTATCTCCATGACATCAGAGTTTCTCTTTAGCTCATCGCCTTCTTTTTGTCCCGAAGTCAAGTGGGTACAGACGAAGCAAAAGCTTGTTTGATGGAGCAACATGCTTATTGAGATCGATCCCTACAAAGAACAATAGAGGCAGAGGCATTATAATAAAGTGGCTAGCTAACTCACAGGAGACAGAGCATTATATAATGAAGAACAAAGTCTAACCTTATTTCCAAGATAACCCATTAGTCCTCTGCCAACACAAGATACTTTCATGTTCTTAACGTGTTCTCTTAGCTCGCTTTTCACCCAAATAGTTAGGAAGACACCCACCATTTGTTTGCTAGCAACTAAACAATACTGTGAAGAGTTCCACGGGATTCTATATCCGTTGTCGTTTGCTGCAGAACCTGGTGAGTACAAGACGGTGCTTGGAGAATCCCCGAGACCATTATCATCATCTGAAGACCTTGAGAAGTCACTTGGCCTTGAATAATCACTCGGTCTAGAGTAGTAATCACTTGGTCTAGAGTAGTCACTGGGTCTAGAATCACTGGGTCTTCTGGAATAATCACTAGGCCTTCTGGAATAGTCACTAGGCCTTCTAGAGTAATCACTAGGTCTTCTAGAGTAATCACTAGGCCTGTGACTGCTGCTACTACCACGGAAACTCGGGTCGAAATCACTTGGTCTGTGGCTGAAGAAGACACGGTCACAGACGCTGAAACGACGGTCAAGACCTGGCTGAGGAATGGAAGGATCATTCCATGTACTACTCGGGGTCTGAAAAGACCGTCTGTGGAAGAAAGTAGAGTTCTTTTGCCTTGTGGATCCAGAGAAATCAGCATCAAGCTCTGCCATAGGCACAGGGATAGGGGAAGGCGTGTGATAACCGCTGGTTCCGCTAGTTCCTGGTCGGTTATTGAGCGTTTTTCGGATAAGAGAGAGCCATTTCTGAGCAGGTCCATTGTCTTCAGCTCCAAGGACATTTCCAGCATTAAGAGGAACAATCTCTTGGAATCTGAATTTGACCAAAAAGCAAAGATTGAGGAAATGAAGACTCAATGAAATTCATTAAAAAAGAATGAAGTCTGTAGAAACAAACATACCCGAGTACATATATCTGCAGGAGCTGATGAATGAAGCCACTCATCAAGGTTTAAGTCTGAAGGAGGAGAGCGTCCAGCTACGTTCCATGTAGCTACAAAGATGCTGCTCAAAGTAATAATCAACACTAGATTTCAGTAAAAACACACACACAAAGCTTACATGAAACATATGTGTGTATATATAGACAGACATACCTGTAGTTTTGGACATCAATGATCCTAGGATTCTCATAATTCATTCTCCTTTGCCGAGCTTGTTGCTCCCAGTTCTTACTAAGTTTCTCTGTGAAACCAAGAAATCATCAGTAACATAAAAGAAAGAATCATTTAGGTAGATAAAACAAGTGACTATATATGTATGATTTTACCAGTTTTGGTATTCTTGATTGTGGAAGGTGCTTTCTCAGCTGAGAAGCTACTTCTGTGCTCTACTTCAACTCCTTTAATCATAATTTAACAAATCAATATCAGAAACAAATTGAAACAAGATTATCTCAGAAGAGACAAAACATAAGGAAAAAACAAGAACAAGTAAACAAAATCAGTTAAAAGAAAGAGAGAGAGAGAGAGAGAAATTACGAGCAGAAGTAGGATCATCTGCTTGAAACTCCTCTGTTTTGCTTTTGATATTGAACCATTTCCTGACCATCTTCTTGGACCATGCCAGCTTCATTTCAGAAATTCAAAACAAAACAAAAAAAATTCATCTTTCAAATTCTCTGAAGATAGGCAAACATAAAGGTCATAGATTAAGAGAATTAAAGAAAACCTTATTAGTCTTGGATTTGTCTTCTCTCATTGTTGCTTCTTTCTTCTCTGCTTCTCTACTACTATTGTTTGTGGATCTTTTCTTTATCTCCTTTAACAGAAACTTAATCCATCCCTAGTTACTCAAAAAAAAGTTTAGGTTCTGTTTGAACCAGAGTGCCTAAAACGATGGAAATTTCCAAAATTTGACTGGAATTGGCTCTTTGGACAAAGCAATGAACAAAAATGTGAGAGCTTTCTTTCTTTTTGTTCTTGAGAGAAGGCTTTTAATGGCGGAGACAGAAAAAAAAGGAAATGTAGCAAAGAGAGAGAAAGAGAGAGAGGGTACTTAAAATAAGAGAAAGTGTTGAAGAGACATCAATTCTTGAAGTAGACAGAGGCGAGACAATGAGGGCAGATTTTAGAGTGAGAAAGTAAAAGTGAAATTCTACAGAGAGAAAGACAGAGTCTTTTACGAGAGAGAGAGAGAGAGAGCTTCAATGAAACGGCAAAGCAAAAGCAGCGTATTTTGAACAAAATTAAAGTTGCAGAGAGACTAGTGAGTGTTTTAGTCTTCTCTTCTTTGCTATACTTTTTTTTTTTTGGTTGGCTAAGTTTTTTTTTTTAATTAGCAATTTAGTATTTTTTTTTTTGGAAACTTTTTATTCATCTAATTTAATACCACGATTTGACAGAACCATTGATTAGATTTCCAATACCAAAATTTAATATTGACAACGTCTGTCTAATTCAAATCTTTAATTCTCTTTTTTTTTAGTTTGCCATTTTCAACTACTCTTAAAAAATGCAAAAAACGAGTATGTGAAAATACTTAATTTTCAACATACTGAAGTCTCAATTCATAAATTCAAAAGAATCATAGAAAATAAAAAGTATTGATGTAAGTTAAAAAAAAAATTAGTAGTATATTATTTATACTGACAAAAATTGTAGAATGAAATAATATCTGATGTTTTGCACCAAAAAAAATGACATACTAATATTTAATGTATTTGTGATTAATCTTGTGAAATTATAGAATTATGCGACAATCTATGATTGATATAAACATGCCGGGTGGTTTTGTCAACTGATCAACTCTAGTAAGAACTTATCATCACTTCAAAGCCGATAGCTTTTTTTATATGTATATCATCATCATTTTGCTAATAAGATGTGTCAAATGTCAAATTAATTTTTTAATTGGTAAAGATTACATTAATTTAAAATAATAAAATGTGAAACTTTACAAATTAATTGAGACATAATTGTTGGTGCAATTAATATTTACAAGTGGATCAGAATGAACCAAAAGTAATAGTAGAAACAAGAGAGAATTAATTCAATTTTCCACAGTTGCATACGATAGTTGTTGTATACGATGTTGACTGATAAAGCACGAAAAAAAGCTTATAAAAATTATGAGACACAAATTGCCACAAACCTATACGCTCGAATATGTAACTCATAACAAAGTTTACACAATAAGCAAATGGGTTTAAATCAATACTGCTTTTAATTAGTAAGGAGAAATACACAATTTTGGTTGGTTAGTAATTTAGATGTTTTAAAAAATGGTTAAGCTTAAAAAGAGAGTATTGAAAATTGAATTAGGTAGTTGTGTTTATCATCTATCTGTACTCTTCTTTTTTTTTTTTTTTGGCAAAAAAACTCAGTGAATTACAAATTTACAAGAACATTCTTGCCTGAACTAGCTTGATTCGTTCATCTAGTTTTAGGGTAACTAACTGATTCTGTCCATTTCTATTTCTTTCTGAAATTGAACTGATATATTAGGTCCATTCATCCATTTGTAGATCTCTTTTATCTTACAAAACGATGATAATATCTTTTTTGTATTACATTTTCTCTCCAAGATTTTGGCCTATCAAACAAAGTAAAATAAAGCAAAAGAATAATACTATAAAAAGTTAAAAAGAGAGAGAGGTATAGAGGAAAAAGAGAAAGAGATAAAGAGTGCTATGTCATATAGTTTGCCATATCATCTTTCCTTTTCAATTTGTTTATTTTTCCGCCAATTTACTTTTATTTGTTCCGAAATTTTATCTTTGTTTAAATATTGAGTTTCTGAATTTTAGATGATTATTTTAATTTTAGAGTTATTCTTTCCTTGTAGCACAAATGTTGGACACAAGGTACTGTTCTAAAGTCCACTCGCCATTGATATCAGGAGTTTGTGCTCCTTTTTCTGTATTTTTCTTGAGACTCCCAATTTCGCATCTTTTAAGTTTCATTTTACTTGAATGTCTAATGAACAACTCCGTATATAGAAATATTTTGCAACAACTTTTAGTTTTTCTATAGTATTTACTAATAAGTCACTATACACTAGGGTTAAGTATAAAGCAATATAGATGAAATTCTTAGAATATCTAAGATCTCGCAATTAAGCTTTCGGTCGATTCGTAGACACATTTTAAACCAAAAAAAAGTCTCCAGTTTGAACATTCACACTGTGGTATTAAACTCTATTGCTATTATAAGATCCAATCAATAAATTAAGAATAGAAATTCCATTGTTGATTGTTGAAATCCCACAAACCTTGTTATATGTATATAAAATTATATACCTAACTTAACTATAAGAAATACGGAAAAATAATTAAGAAATTGATAATGGCCTGACGGCGGAGAATTACATGCTGGGGCAGCTTAATGTCCCATATAATTAAAACTACCAATAGATTGTCGATATTGTAACTTTAAAATAATTTCTAAAATTAAATATACAGAAATTTATCAACTAAATGATCCAAAATACTTAAAAATACAGAGATTAGCTCCACCATACATTCAACACTCATGAATGCTAATCATGATTAGCATATCTACACCATTAATTCGTTTTGCTAATTGCTTTAATTTGCCCCATCAAGATACGTCCTCATTTGTTTACACACAATGGGAAACGCAATAACGAACATATATTTTATACATACGTTTTCGACGATTTACACTCAACAATATGACTTCAACCATTTGTAGTCATTGTTTGAGTATTCTTAAACACGTTTTAATGAAAAACAAAACATTAAATGGCCCATGTTATTCAATTAGTGTTTATTGATGTTTAATTATCAACACATGCGATATATATTGACATTTGACAAACATAATTATTTGCGTCAAGACTGGTGATCAAGAAGCGACTGGTAAACAGAGGAAGAAACGATATATATACTTTTATTTGTGTCGTCAGACTCACATATTTATAATTTTACGATAGAATTTCGCTTTATTTTTGTTTAACGTATCTATTATATGAGTGGACTTTCATTTTATTGGTATCTAATCAGCAGGAATAGTTTCGTTAACTTGTCTCCACGAACTCGTAGATGATGTAAACTTTCACATTAGGCGAACACTAAGCAACACATTTTTTCCTTTTTGATAAGATTTAATACATTTCTCAAATATGGCTGAAATAAATAAGGGGAAAAAGGCATAACAATGTAAGCCAAAGAAAAAAAAATACAAATCGAAAGAAGAAACGACTGAGGGCATGCAATGCAACACATATTAATAAAGTCGACCTACTAGGGAAAAAAGAGAGTCGACCTATTAGTTTCCATATCCTGAAATTCAGGATTCAAACACCAAATTATTCAAAGTAGTATCGCAATCTTTGTGTTACCAATAAATTACAAATCAATAGGATTATAGAATCATTAGCGAAAACTTTTATTTTTGTATTTTCTATGTGCCAAATTGTTTAATGGGCACAAGGGACATGACCAAGTGGTGTCAAATGGATGCGCATTTATAATGTTAGTCTATATTTGTCATCTCCAATAGAAAAGGATATTCCTTAATTTGGAAAATGTTTTCTTACACTGTTGAGCTCAATCTTTGAAACTTTAAGTTTCGTTTTACTCGATAAAAATGATACTAATCCAAACAAAGTAAAAGATTATATCATTGAAAGGGTTGTCTTTATTAGGTAAGTATATTCTAAAACTATTTTCATCAGGATATCTATCATGAATTATGTTTTTGAAATAAACACTTCACTGTAACGTTTTGACGGAAACTAGCTAGATATGGACGATTTTAATTATTTTCCATGCACCATCATACTATTATAATCCGAAGAATCGTAAATGTAATAATTATAAGTGGAGAACCTAATATACTTTATAGAAAATATCCTAGAGATAATGTACATGTGCAAATTAATTCTACATGTATAGTAAATATCATGTGTGATGTTTCGTAATCACTTTAGTTTTCCCATAGCAACTCTCTTTACTTTAACCTATAGTTTGATGGTACGTATAAACTCTTAATCATATGATGTCAAAGCCATTTTCCCAATATGAATCCATAGTTTTATGATAATCATGAAACGACATATACGTTGAAACTGTAGTAAGAGGCTTTTGATTCATACTCAAGGGTTAACAAGACCAAGGGACAAAAGTACATTGCGTGGTTTCAAATGGTTATTACATCTAATCACCAAAGGTTTAACTCACTAAAAAAAAAAAAACACGAGGAAGATTTTGCTTTTACTTTTACTTTTTAGTACAAAATCTCATCTCTCAATTTGCAAGAGTTACGAGGCAGTCAGAGACTCAGAGCAAAGATTCACCTTAATATTATTTTATACATAAATTTAGATTACATCATATATAGACTTAGAGGAATTAAATCGTATGCATCTGTTTTTTTTTGCTCTTTTGCTTTTATTGTGGAGAGGCCCACTCTTTCTTTATGTTAGCTCGTAGGCTATGTAATGCCCGTTTGTATTTAGAGTCGGGTCATATCTCACATAGCATTTTCAGGAAAAAGGAATAAAATAAAAAATTAATATTTCAAAGATGGATGTATAAAATTATTTTAGATAATGTTTGCTAACTATATCTCGTTTTAACCTCATGATTATAAAGGTTAAATTTCCAGAAAAAGAAAACCTGTTTTGCTCAAAGCAAAATCTTATCTTATGTCAAGTTTATTAACAACAAGAATAACAATGTAAATATATTGGTCATGTCCATTTATTAAAAAAGGTACCACAAAAGATATTTGATATTTCTTCAGATTTTTCGAATAAACGAATGTAAATATATTGGAGAAACCTATAAAATACGTTATATCGAATAATATTTTGTTTTGTGTGAAAAATAGAAATTATAATCAATTAATCATAATCTATGGACTGTCGTATTTTGCCTTAAATTTTCGTGATTCTTACGAAACCTAAAAATCTCTTCATATGCAATTTTTTTGTTTAGCTAAAATGACAAGTTAAAAATTCTCTTAATACATGCAACTCTGTTGAAAAGGATCATCGTATAGCAAGCATCGATGTTGATGTTAATTGTTGAATAATGATGATGATACGAAGTTCGTTGGTCGCTAATATCAAATCAATGTTCTTCTACAAGCCCGTTCATTCAACGGATCCGGTTCGATCGATTGGCCCCTCTGAAACTTACAAAATCTCTTTTTCTCAAGCTGTGGAGACTTCGAATTCTCACTTAAATCTACATGATTGGCTCCTACCAATTCCATTCACAGATGTTATTACAAAGGTTAAGTTATTGACAGCATTCGTTCGATATATGTATCTTGTCTCAGTTAGTTTGACAACAGAGACATCTAATCTCTGGTGAGTGTCAAAGTTTTGAAGTTGGAATTAACAGAAACAAAGCATGATTGAAACTTCGTTCTAATATAGTTGCAGATGTGGTTTTAACATGAAACATTTTGCTATATAAGTTAGAGTTCATAGCAGACATAATGAAATCCATACAAAAGCCAAGGTTTTTCTGAGAAAGAAGATGCCCAAAAGGATCATACAAAAGCAAAACACAAGTCTTGGAAACCTGAAATAGCATAAGATATTATAGGGAAGAGATGAATGAAGCCAAGAGTTTTGTGATGACTCATGGCATAAGAATGCTGAAACCTTCAACTAAATCTGCTTCCTTTGGTTGGACGATGAGATTGTCAAACATATCCCCAAGCTTCGAATGCTGCACCATAGTGTCCAACACTTTATCCTCTGTCACAGCTTCAGCAATCTTTTCCTTTCCTTTGTCATGTCTTGAAGAGCATGCAAACACAAGCTCTGAGATCCTATCCTTTTGTGCTTGCTTACAGTATTTTGGTCCCTCAGGAGTTCCTTTTGCAACCAAGTGATATGTGTAAACAATCCGCTGCTGCCCGATTCTGTAAGCACGGCTTATAGCTTGTCTTTCGACTGCCGGATTCCACACAACATCCAAAAGAATCACCCTTGATGCTCCTACCAGACTGATCCCTTCAGAGCAGGCTTTTGTTGAAGCTAAGAACACTTTGGCCTTGGATTTTGGATCATTGAATTCGTTGATCAAGGTTTGTCTTTGTTTTTGCTCGAGTTTGCCATGCATGTACAACACTTCCTGCCCTGGATTCCACTTGAAACGAGAGACCAGATGTTTCATGATCAGTTTCAATGGGTCGATGTATTGGCTGAAGACCAACACTTTCTCCTTTATCACCTCGCATAACTCAACGAACTCCATGAGGAATCTCGTTTTCACGCTTTGATTTGGATCGAGTCTTACCTTCTTAAGCTGTGCAAGCAGAGCCTCGTCGATGGACAAACGTTCCTTCTCAGAAAGTTTGCAGCGAGAGACTAGAGAAGGATGGACTGAGACTAAAGACAGCTTGTGTTCTGTTTCAAATACGTTTTTTGTTTTCCGGTTGTGAGTGACTTCAATGGATTCTAGGACTCTCCTCTGCAGCTCAGGTGGGTTTAAGACCACAACACATTCTCTCAAACCAGGGAGGCTACTTTGAAGAATGCTTCCTTTATGGACATGCACAAATGGAAGCATAACAGCCTTCAGCTCTTCAATCCCACGGTTGTTGATTTCATTCCCCAAAGCTTTTTTTCCTCTCTTTGTTACAGTCATCCCACTTTTCTTGAGTGTGGATGTGAGCCTTTCCAGATATTTAGGTCTTGCGAGTCCCAAAACATTGCACAGCTCCTGGAAGTTGTTCTGGAAAGGAGTTCCAGAAAGCAAGATACGTTTCTGTGTTTCCACTTTGGATAGTGTTTTCCATATACAACTTCTCTGGTTCCGAGGCGTGTGTGCCTCGTCAAGAACAAGAAGTCCAGGCCTTCCCATAAGTATCTCTCTGATATCATCTAATTCTTTGTCTGGTTTCACTTCTCTCACTGTCTTTGTCTTTTTGTCCTCGTCTTTAACTCCTGCAAGCTTCTCATAGAGGTTGTAGCTGATCCCCAGTATGCTCTTCGATTTTATCCAAGAGTATATTTTCACCATCCTTATCTCATTATTGCTTCTTGCAGTGGCATTCTTCTGCATCAAAAGCCCCAGCGCCGCGGAGCTCTCTTTCCCAGTAAAGTCCAAACTGCTGAGATTATGAAAGGGAATGCTTATGTTCCATTTCTTGAACTCCTCTGCCCATGTGAGAAGCAAGCTTGCAGGAGCAATGATCACTGGTTTGCAATCTGGGAAGCATTGAAGATAGGCTTGCAGGAAAATGATGGTCAGGCGAGTTTTTCCTGTCCCGGGAGCGTGTGACATGATGCATCCTCCCGTCTCATCGCTGTTCTCAAAGTCCTTGAGCTCGTTCAACAAGATTGTACCGGCTAAGTTCTTCCAGATAAACTCAAAACCCTCTTGCTGGTGAGGATACATTTGAGATTTGACCCCTGGGATCTTATCCCAAACAGTTCCTTCCGAAGAAACACATCCCTCACTTAAGCTGTTGTTAGGAGCTTCAAACCCAAGTTTCCCAATGAAGCTGCTGCCTTCTTCCTCTTCAAATCTATCAATTTTTCTCCTTTCCCTTGTAATCTTCTCTCCCTACATGAAGAAACATACACTAAAGTTACCATCAAACCTTTTAGTTTAACGTTTCAATCATTTCACTGAATACTCCAAATTCCTTACCCACTCAGATACATCCATGCTCCGGATCTCTCTCTCCACGAAGCCACAGTGCATACACTTCAAACCAACCTCAAGATCAAGACACAGCTCGTGATTCCCCTTTTTACATTGTGCTGCTGGAGTTTCTTTAGTTGATATATCTTTCTCTACCTGCAAACATTTCAAGTTAGATTTACCTTGCTCTTAACAAAAGGAGATAAATGTACTGTTTTGGAGAAAACAAGAAATTACATTTGAAGGAAGCTCGTTGCCGCCGATGTCGTTAGATTTACTGAAAAATGCTAGTTCTTCCCACAGCATCTCTTCCTCTGAATCTAACTCAGAAACCACAGGTGGTGATTCAGGCTCCTCCACACCAAATCTCTCTATCAATGGTGGTGGCCTAATGATTAGAAGTCCATCATCATCATATTTTCTTTGATCTTCCTTTGCTTGTTCTTGAGAATGGTCTTCAGGTAAAGAAATTAGTTCGTCTGCTTCTTCCTCTCCCTCACCTAATTGACCTTTCTCCCAAACAGAGTTTACAAGAAGCCTGAATAGATCAACTTCTTTATGGTTTCCATTCATCATTCTCCAATCCGAGTTGTTATTAATCTTGACCTCTTTGTCTTTTAGAGTAGGATCAGATTCATATCCATCTGCAGAGCTAATAGAAGAATCAGAGTCATCATCAACATGTTCATTAGTCACAACAGACTTATTTAACCCCTCCGCAACTGCAACTGCAACTGTAGGTGTCATCAAACCCAAGATGTTATTGGCTTGGACCTCTTTTGCTTTCTCTGAATTCTGGATTTCAGGTGCTTGTGGCTCTTTTGCTTTCTCTGAACTGAAAATCTCAGGTCTTGATGGCATTTCAGGTGCTTGTGGCTCTTTTGCTTTCTCTGAACTGAAAATCTCAGGTCTTGATGGCATTTCAGGTGCTTGTGGCTCTTTTGCTTTCTCTGAACTGAAAATCTCAGGTCTTGATGGCATTTCAGGTGCTTGTACCTCCTTTGCTTTCTCAGAACCGAAAATTTCAGGTGTTGATGGCTTTTCAGGTACTTGTACCTCTTTTGCTTTCTCTGTAGTGAAAGTTTCAGGTCTGGATATGGATGGCTTCTCAAATGTTTTTACTTCTTTTCCTGTCTCTGCATTCTCCACTTCAGGTCTGGATGGATTTCCAGTTGTCTTCCCAGAGTTGATGGAAACAGAATCTTCATACTTTGATACATTAGTAGAAGCAAAGTTGTTGACATCCTCAATTTCATCTCTTAATGAATGTGGTCTAATGAAAGAGCTGTGAGATTCAGGGATTCCTGTGTTCTCTTTGCCACAATGAGCACAAGTGAACACAACATTGCTCGGCTGCTTTGTTACTACTCTTACAACTTCTCCTTGTCGTTCTTTTTCTTCTTCTTCTCGGTGGTTTAATTTCTGAATCTTCTTGTCCTTTTTTATAGGGTTGGTTAAGCTAGAACCAGACCTCTTATACCTTACCAAAGGCTTCCTTTCCGCTAAAGAGACTTTCTTGATTGGTGAACTGGCCTTTCTCAAGTCATCATCATCTGTATTATCTCCAACTACCTCCTTTAAATATATCTCATCGTCACTCGAGGAAGAAGAGTAAGATGATGATGATGATGATGATGATGATGAAGATGGATCCTCAGAAGACAAAGACTCCACCGTTAAATTATCTTTGGTGTTATTATCTTCACTATCTTGATTTTCTTCTTCCTCTTCATCGGTTTCACTTGTGCTATCTTCGCCATCACTGATAGACTCTACGATTCTGCTGCTGTCCTCAAATAGCTTCTTCTTGGCTGAAGCTCTTCTTCTAGCTTCAATTTCAGACTCAGAATCTGAAAGAATCTCTATTTCACGAAGGACTGATTTTTCAACAACCAAACCTCTAATCTCAGGAGAACACTTCTCCTTCAAAAATCTGTTTTCTTCAGACACATCTTTTAACACAGAAGAGCTCGGAACGGATATTACAATATCCAAATCAGTAATCTCAGGAGAAGTCTTCTCATTCAGACATGTGTTCTTCTGTTCAGACCCATCCTTTAACTTAGAAAAGCTCGGAACTGGTATAATCTCAGGGGAACATTTCTTCTCCACACCCAGATCACTAACCCTAAAAGAACTCTCTTTCACACATGGGTTCTGTTCAGACCCATCTCTTAACCTAGAGGAGCTTGGACCTGATTTCTTCTCCACATTCAGATCTCTGATTATCCTAGAAAAACTCTCTTTCAAAGAGTTGTTAGGTACAGAGTACCTGTTACTGACTTGAGGAGGAGGAACACGGTCGTTGTAAGTTGGTGTGATATCTTCAATGTCAGAATCAGGATCCTTTCGTTTCTTCTGCCGTCGTTTCTTTGGAGGAGATGTCACAGGAGCTACAGTCTCCATCTTCTTCCGCTTGTTAACCACCTGAAGACGCTGCCAGCTCCGGGACTTCACTCTCTTCCCAATCCACTCCATTAGAGCAAACACAAAGATCTGAAAAAGAAAGACTGTAAGAAGAAGACAATGGGTCTGTAAAGAAAGACAAAGAGAGAGAAAGATAAGAACCTTAGACGAGAAAAATTGAATCTTTCACAGTGGTCTGAGATCAAACGATAGAGAAGATGATGATAAAGCTCTTGACTTTAGAGAAAATTTTGATTTTTAGTGGTTTCAGAAAATGGGACAGAGAGAGATGGGCAGAGAGAGAGAGAGGGCATGAAGAAAGCGTGATGGCAAAGCCAAAGCATACTATTTCAGGAGGTCTCTCATACCGCCAAAACGTACTATTTTTCCACACACTCTGCTTTTTGTTTTGGTCAAATTTTTTCTTACATTTCGAAAAACCAGCTCATTAATCAGTTTCCATTTCAAGCTTTGTTTTTTTCTTTTCTAAATTACTTTTTGACCACTCAGAAATTCTGAGTCATCAGAGAGAAGAAATTTCATTACAAGACAAACAATGTAATGGGATTGGACATTGGACTTGGAGTATTGAAATCAACTGCCTTGCTCTTGCTGGCATTTAATTTCAATATTAGACATTTATCATTTTTAAAATCTAAAAATATTGTGATTGAAAGAAAAGCCAACCAAAATAATTACTTACAAGTTACAACATATACAAACCAAGGTATTAGAATAGTATAAAGTAGCAAAGAACATCATTACAAAGAGGGAAGATTCCTACAAACCCCATTAATATAGAGAGGTATGAGGTCACGCAAAGTCACAAACTCAGTAAGTGACATTGGAACTTGGTCATTAATTTACATCACCAACAAGTTCTAAATATGAAGAAAGAAATTTGGGAGAAATTTATGTACCAACTTCACTTTAAGTGCCTACCTTTTATCTAATCGCAGTAATGAACACATCACATCCTATGAGCATTTGACAAATTAGGAAAAAAGGCTAAGCTGTGTTAGTCAGAGATAACAACTTGCAGAGGGGACCATTGATCTCGTAATTTTTTTGTGTGACAAGACAAGTTTTAAGTCCCTAATAAAAGGGATATTAGAAGCACATATACAAAACTGAATAACAAAATTAAGGAATAATTTTCATTTAAACTCTATAGTCTATACCTTCCATTGTTATTGAAACAAAGCACATTGTTTGTTTTTCAATAAATAGCAATGGTAGACAAAACAGAGAGATTAAAAAAACCTAAGCTTCTTCATGAGTTAGTTTCATCCTCCTGTGCCTTCTTAAGACCGTCACATTTACCTCAATGAGCCGTAACCATCATCCCTAACCAGTCATCTACACGAGTATCTATAATAACAATCACGGTATGTAAATTTAAAGGTATAAACCTCAAGTATCAACAGTTAGTCCCCCAAGAACTTATCAAGATCCTAATTGCATGAAGCTAACATGATCTCATTTCTTAAATCTGGAACAAGTACTGAATCCTGAGGAATGCAAAGCTGAATCTTCTTTGTCATTGCCATTATGTTCCGGCGATGATGTTCAAAATCTTTCGGGCGATTTAGTTCCATTCCATCACTGTCTTACTTTTTATTTTATTTTTTTCTATTACATGTCAAAGTCAAAATCTCACCGATTCTGTAATTCCCAATTATATGACGTGTCAACGTATTATTGGTGCTAACGATAGCACAACCTTTTGCGTCGGTAGCGACCTCTTCGGAAATATATAATCTGTAATTAAAAGTGAGACTACTCTTTTCACTAATCCCAATTTAAAAATCAAAACCCTTTTATTTATTTTTTCCTTTTGAGAATTCTTAGAAAATAAGTAAATAAATTAGTTCTCTTTTCTCATTCGGTTTAGCTCGCGAAACTGAATCTGGTGTACTAAATTAAAGTACGGACATTGCAATTTTCGATATCCGGCGATAAAAAATGGGTTTCATAGTCGGCGTTGTGATCGGACTCCTCGTCGGAATCGCCATCATCATCGGCTTTGTCAAGTTGGAGAATTCTCGATCCAAGCTTCGCTCTGAACTGGTGAGACCCCTCACTCCCTCTTTTTTGATTGAAAAGTTCGATTTTTTAATCGATTTGTCAGCTAACTTTCTTAATCGGGATTGTGTTTCTTTCTATCAGGCGAATACGGTGGCTGCTTTTGCAAGGATGACGGTGGAGGATTCAAGGAAGCTTTTGCCCCCTGAGTTTTATCCTTCCTGGGTTGTCTTCTCCGAGCGTCAGAAGTTGAGTTACATTACATTGATATCTTTCTCCTTTTGCGTTTTGGTAGACACAAAAGTTGTAGAATTTGTTCATATTCAGGACTGATTCTTGTTGTTGCTTTGCCTTTTCATTTACTTCAGTTGACTTGGCTCAACCATCACTTGACAAAGATCTGGCCTTATGTTGATGAGGTATGTTTCTATTGTCAAAATTTCATTTAGGTAGAGAGATGTTATTTGTCTTATGGATGAAGATATTGTTTCTAAAGGAAGGTTCTTTTTCTCCTGTTTTTATTCATTGGAGTTTAGGCAGCCTCTGAGCTTATAAAGGCATCCGTGGAGCCTGTTCTTGAGCAATATAGACCTGCCATAGTGGCCTCCTTAACATTTTCTAAGCTTACTCTCGGGACAGTGGCGCCTCAATTTACAGGTCAGTTTTGTTCATTTCTGTTTTTATATGTATTACTTTGTGTTGTGAGGTACCAGAACATGTGCAATTGAATCATATTGAATCGGCCGTGGAACCCCTTTGTTTGTGACCTTTTAGGTTTAGTTAGTCCATATAAATCTTGAGCTTGAGCTGACATTCTTGACTAAGAATGTTCTTACTGTTACGTGTCTACACAGTGTAACCTACTTTTCTGTGATAGTCAATGAATTCCTGTCAAAAGGAAAATATTCAATTGAATAACCACTGAGAAGTGAATTATAAATTCGACTGGGAAATGATCAGGCAATGGCAGCGGTATCTTTCTTTACATTTCTGCGGGTTGTGTGTTTAAAGTTTGCAAAAAGAGGAGCCATAATCATAAAGGAAAATTGTCTTGTTGCTTTAAAATTTATGTTTTGCTTGTGCTCCTTGGTGTTTGCTAGGTGTTTCCATTATCGACGGTGATAAAAATGGGGTGACCATGGAACTTGATATGCAATGGGATGGAAATCCAAATATAGTACTTGGCGTCAAGACCTTAGTTGGTGTATCTCTCCCAATTCAGGTATATGATTTGAATTCCCTCGATTGCTTACTTAGACTTTATATTATTTGTTAACTCTTCTGTCTTGCAGAACTTGTGAAGGTGATATTGTAATTTTAACCTTTCTAGTTAGATCAATGATAAGCTGATTACAACTAACATCTTATTCTCTGTTTTCTAGGTGAAAAATATTGGATTCACTGGTGTTTTCAGGCTGATTTTTAGGCCACTAGTTGAAGACTTTCCTTGCTTTGGAGCTGTCAGCGTTTCTCTTAGAGAAAAGGTGAGTGCCCACTGAAGCTTTTGAAGATGGCTAAGATAGTTCATAATTTTTTCTTGTACTTTTGCTTAATCTTGTTGCATCCTTGTGCTTGCATACCTGAGCATGCACGTATGTGTGCTAGATTGGTTTGACTGAAGAAAGCTGTGGTGCACAAAATCCTCGACTGGCAATGATCAGTTTTGTCTGTTAATTAGCTTATACATCCAATTCTGTGTTGCAGAAAAAATTGGACTTCACCCTTAAGGTTGTTGGAGGTGATATTTCAGCAATTCCTGGACTTTCTGAAGCTATTGAGGTTTGGCCTACTATTTATTTTCTTAATGCCAAATCTTTATGCCATTCTGGAATTTTAGAGAAAGAAACTATCAAGGTGGTTACAAGTCTTTATTTAGCTAGGAAGTACATGTGGTCGAGAATCAACAGGGTGTTCTGGTTATTGCATTTTCCTATTAAGCATCGTTTTTTTTTACAATGATAGGTGGAATCATATGTGTTAATCTTATAACTTGCTAGACAGGTTGGCAACTTGAATTGACAGTTCTATAAAAATAACAGCTTAAGTTCTACACATGAAACCTTGTTCATATGCTATTTTTGTAAAATCATACTTGTATACGTTCCTTTTCCTTTTCCTTCTAATTTTCTTACCCAACGCTCCATATGATGCTAGTGATGCAAGGCTGTAATCTCTTAGATGGTCCTTTATGCTCTGGTGCATATGACACTTACCAGTAATTTGATATGTCTCAGGAAACAATTCGGGATGCCGTGGAAGATTCTATCACTTGGCCTGTTCGGAAGGTCATCCCAATTATACCTGGTGATTATAGGTACACCCCAGATGAAATCCATGAAGTTGAACTGTTGATGTTCTTCAGTGGAAAATATGCTCAACATTTTTTTCTCGTTTTTGACTTTCTTACTATTGTGTTATAGCACTTTCGAACTGTCAAGGCAAATGATGGTGCTTGTCTTTCTGGTTTTGGACTTTTATTTTAGCTTTTTTGTGTTTCTATTCCCAGCGATCTGGAGCTAAAGCCTGTTGGAATGTTGGAGGTGAAGCTTGTGCAAGCAAAGAACTTGACCAACAAAGATCTAGTTGGAAAATCAGACCCCTTTGCTAAAATGTTTATACGCCCTTTGCGAGAAAAGACTAAAAGAAGCAAGACAATTGTAAGTAGTCCATTTAATTCTCTTTTTTGTGCTAAACCTACCAGAATGATCTGATTTATATTTATTCTCATCAGAACAATGACCTGAATCCCATCTGGAATGAGCATTTTGAATTTGTTGTCGAAGACGCGTCAACTCAACATTTAGTGGTCAGAATATATGATGACGAGGGTGTACAAGCATCTGAGCTTATTGGGTGTGCCCAAATCCGGCTTTGTGAACTTGAACCTGGTAAAGTGAAAGACGTCTGGTTGAAGCTGGTCAAAGATTTGGAGATCCAGAGAGATACCAAGAACCGTGGAGAGGTTAGATCGGCTATAAATTTCCTCAAATTAAAAAATCCTGTGATTTTGTATCTGTAGATGGCTAATGAATACACGTTATTGTTGATTCTCTGTAATTTAGGTTCATCTTGAGCTCCTTTACGTCCCTTATGGTTCGGGAAACGGCATCGTAAATCCCTTTGTCACTTCATCGATGACTTCCTTAGAGAGGGTGCTCAAGAATGATACAACAGATGAAGAAAATGCATCAAGCCGTAAAAGAAAAGATGTCATTGTAAGAGGAGTGCTCTCTGTGACAGTGATATCTGCAGAAGAGATACCAATACAAGATCTGATGGGGAAAGCTGATCCATATGTTGTTCTCTCGATGAAGAAATCAGGTGCCAAGAGCAAAACTCGGGTAAGTCCTCTCATTTAAAGCATCAACGAGTGATCCATGTTACATCCTCCTCACATCTAACTAATGGTAATTTTGCTTCACCAGGTCGTCAATGACAGCTTGAACCCGGTCTGGAACCAGACTTTTGATTTTGTAGTTGAAGATGGGTTACACGATATGCTAGTCCTTGAAGTCTGGGACCACGACACCTTTGGAAAGGTAAAACCAAACAGCATCAACACTGTTACTTAACAATCTTTATTCCGCTGCATTGCATCAAATGGATATTTATCGTATTGGCATTGGACATTGTGGCTTTACTTTGTGGACAGGACTACATTGGGAGATGTATCCTCACGTTGACAAGGGTTATAATGGAAGAGGAATACAAAGACTGGTACCCATTAGACGAATCCAAAACGGGCAAGCTTCAGTTGCATCTCAAGTGGATGGCTCAATCAATTTATCGCGATTCCTAAGCTTAATCGGAAGATTCACAACTTTGAATGTACATTTTGTCTAGTAGCCTCAAACGGATTTGTTTTGTCAAACAGAGACGAGTCTGCATGTAGCCCTGAAGCTATGGACTCGAATATGAGTTTTCCTCTGTTTCTGAAAACCCTAGACAATACTTGTGTACTTTGGCCTCATAAGCAAACATGTCCAACTCAGATGTCATAAGGGGTTTGGTCTTTGCGTGCATCACAATCCTGCAATAATTTTATACCTTTCACCATAAAATCTCGTGTACACGTATCACCATATTTGTCTACACCATATTTGCTTCACTATCATAATAATCAGCTTCGAATCTTGACACATATTAACATTTTGACTAGTCCTTATTTATAATCCTAAAGTGAAGCCCAAAAAAGCCACGCACACTCGGTGACACCTTTAATGTTTGCCATGTGTCGTAGTCCATGCAAATGCTCACTTCTATGTATTAAGACCAGACCTATACAAGCACGGTTTCTTATTCACTTGCTGCTAGTTACTTGCAAGAGAAAAGAGAAATAATTGATTGATGTAATGGAGAAGGCAGTTCATTTATCTACCAAAAATGGGCCCAAGGTTCCAGGAGAGCCAACGAAGACCGGAACCTCCATGGTTGACACCGCAGCTTCAGCCGTACAAAGCTTCGCTCCGATTAACCAAATCCACCAACATCTCTGCGCGTATGCTTCTTAACGCGTTAATCCTCTCTTTTCATTTTATCTTTTAGAATTTAGCATATATAAAGAAGATGAAGAATGAAGGATAAAATCTGTTATTACAGCAAATTTTTTCCTATATATTAGATCTGTCAAATTCTTGTATTTTAGATAAAAACATTGTTCTTGGTATCTTATATATCGAGTTAGACAAATTCTTGATTTTTAACCTATGTGAACACGAGTGGTCGTGTGGAGTTGTGTATACATGCATGCAGAATGAAACTTGCCTATTTGATATGAGTTTGTGACTGTGTGTACATCAGTAAAAAGCCATTTTTGATGAATCTGTATATCCTATTTTCTTAGGTTTCATTTTTATGCATATGACATGACCCGACAAGTGGAGGCACACCATTTCTGCGGTCACATCAACGAAGACATGCGTCAGTGTCTGATCTACGACGGTCCTGATGCCAATGCTCGTCTGATCGGTCTGGAATACATTGTGACAGAGAAGCTCTTTATGACATTGCCTGATGATGAGAAGAAGCTTTGGCACACTCACGAGTGGGAAGTTAAAGGAGGCTTCTTGTTCATGCCCGGTGTTCCAGAAGCTATTCAACGCCAAGATCTCGAAAAAGTCGCCAAGACTTATGGGAAAGTTTACCATTTCTGGCAAGTCGATAAGGGGCATGACCTTCCCATTGGCTTGCCTAATATCATGATGGCCGTTACTCGAGACGGTCAACTTTATCCGGAAATGATCAAGGGTACGTAAATTGGTCTTTATCTTATCGAACTAACTAGGAGTGTGTGTTTACACCGGTTATGCTTGGTCAAATATATTTTTGAGTTGAGAACTCATGAAACATTACATGAACATTCTGAAATGTTCAATGGGTGACCGCAGAGACGGAAAAGCAGTTTGGAGTATCGATGGAAAAGGAGAGAGAGTCAAGGGCTTATATGAAGGGACCAGACCATGGGATCCATCCCTTGGCAAATGGAGGAGGCAAAGGCCTCAAGTTAGAGGTGCGAGAGGTTGACATAAAGCCGGTCGAGTCCGTTCCAAGAGTTTTCGTTTGAGTTGTAGTTAAATAGACAACTTAAGAAAAGAATAAATAAAGAAGCGATCGAGCTTTGCTTTTGTTATAGCCCTCGATCGATCATGTGTATAAGTTGTAAAATACACTTGAAATAGTTAGTATATGGCATCAAATCGTTTTTAATGTTATGTCTTCCCGACTCCTAACGTTCTTATTTATGTGTCCGATTTCATCAAATCCTTCTGGCACCTAAAATAATAATACATCGACAATCTAGATGACATCACTAGAAACCTGCGTATTATAACGGAACGGATTAGAACATAATCTTCGGGTACAACCTTAGAGAAAAGATAATAATACTATGACCAAATGAAACTACAAAATTTGTTGAATCACTATGATAAACAAAAACCTCAGTGAAAAGAAAGGGAACAGAAGCGTAGTCTTGTCATGTGTGTGTATAAGAAACTAAAACACTCAGGCATTCTGGTGAGCGATGACTGCATCTTCTTTATTTGTACTTGTCTCAGGCTTCTCTCAATTGAAATGGAGGGGAAGAGAGAGACCTCTGTGTTCTCAAGATTGAACAGCCAACTTCTGAAGATGTTGGAAGAAGACTTGAAGACTGACATCATCCGTGAAGATTATATCGGAGCCTGCATTCGTCTCGCTCGCATTGTTGTATGTCGCTGACGGATTTAGCTTTGCTAAGAGAAACCTTGCCTGTCCATTATTGCCATACGTATTACAGAACATCAATAAACACTAGCAACCCCAGTGTTCCACACTTCAAAGAATTCAACTACAAATTTAGAGATGAAAGGGTGAAATCACTAACCTGGGATCCATGTTGATCACAAACAACTAATCTTGGTACAGGGAAACGATCACGAATGATCATCTGTGCATCTTCTTGAGGGGCTTCCAAGAGTTGTGCAAATGCCTTAATAAATAAAGAGATCAAATGAGACGTAAAACTGATATTCAATAAAATCCAAGGTCAAATGCAACTTGCATATTCATTACCTGGTGTTCAGGCTGATTTTGATATCCCATGTTGCGCCACTGTGCAATGGTCATTCCATGGAAAACGACAACACTAATGTAAGAATCCAACAAGAGGATACGGTCTGCACCGATGGAAGCAACATCCAACAATGCAGGTTGAGGTAGTGAGTTAAACGAATATGTTGTTAGAGATGGCTGTATCATAACGGCTGCGTTTGAAATACTTTCTCGGTTCAATAGCATGCGATTGTAAGCAGTTTCATCTGGACTATTGTTGAATACCTACCAATATCACCACACCATAAGGACATTTAAAGATGGGCGGACCAGTTATGAATCTGACATATATAAATTATTACAGCTTCTCATATGTCAAACTTACCTGCACAAATTGTGAGCGTCGGAGATTAAACGTAAACTGAGGGAATAGTGAAAAGTTTGGATTTAGAGTAAATGAAGCAGGATCATCCTTCCGGTAATCACCAAATTTAGAACAAAGACGAATAAGGTTCCGGTCCAGCCATCGCGTAGCATCAAATCCCTCCTGAGGAAAACATAATTGACAGTAATTAATACGTTTGATAACCAAAATCCACAAAGTTTGGGTTAAGTAATGGTGAAAAGAAATTCCAGTTATACACTGAAAATCCACAATATAAATGTTTTAACATTCCAACATACAAACCACATTTTTTTCTTAACTTGTCCTAATACAATATAAGAATTAGCAAAAATGCAAATCGGCAGAAAGCACCAAGGACTGAAGATTCAAGAATCTAGAGTTTGAAAGTGCCTCAGATTTGAAATTTACCTCTGTTTCCATTTTCAAGGAGGCTAATCTGGCCACAACCACAGCAGCAGTTTCTTGATCAAAACCTTGCACCAATTCCTACAGATACAACACACTTCATTAGCATCCAGTCCCCGTACAAAGAAGAAAATATGTAGGTTAAAAAGACCATAAGAGTATTTACGAATATAAAATAAAATAAATGGGAATGTGGAATACAAACATGCAAACTAAGTGCTAAGAAGGTAAACATTACGAAATGTTGATGCATACTCTAGAAACTAAACAAATTTTAGAAAACTGTTTTCTCCAAGTTGATGTAAGTTCCAGTTGTAACTGAAGCACTAGTGTTAATAAACAAGGAAATGATGTGTCAACTTGTCTTAACACAAGCAAACTATCCACACCCAATCAGCCATACTACCAGGAAGATACGAGAACATAAGAAAAAACTAATTCTTGCCTATCCAGAGACTAGTCAAATGGATCATTTTCCCCGTGTAATCCTCACACTGGCCATTCAAATAGCTAAAGAGACTAACGATAATCAAAGACAAAAAAATGCAAAAACAGTGGACCAGGACATATTCGACCATTCTTGGGGTAAGGAAACCTATAATGAAGTAGCCAAATGCAAAAATTTGTACAAAACTAATGTGGAAAATACTAACCTCTGTGCTAAGAGCAGTATCTACCCATTGTCTGGTAACAGTAGTTACTCGCTGTAATGTTTTACCTTTTGAATTTTGGTAGCTGCAATCATATATTTAAGATCAAATTTCTATTATTTGGATGAACATACCCAAACCCAGAATTGCATGAAGAGGATACCTTGTCATAAATTGTAAATATAGTTGGTTATTTCCACCTCCAGGAGTACTTGATTGATCACTAGAAGAAAGATCAAAGAAGACTGTCAAACAAGTACTTTTATCGAGGCCACACATCTTCCATTCTGTAGTATTCCCCTCCCCAATAACTGTATCAGCAACGCTAGGGCCTTTCTGCAATTGTTCCAAAAAAAAGAGGCATAACTGTTAAGCTCTCTACCATTATAAAGACAAAAAGATCAACGTCTGAGTATGGGTAGCTTCAACCTTTTGCAATGACGCACAAGGCCCAATAATCCCTTGGATTTTTATGTCCTTTGAACAGCAGATCTCAAGTGTACCACTGAAATGGTAGTATGAAAACGAGTGAGAATGCGACTAACTGAAGATGTCTTAGATGCAACATAAGACACTTAGAAAATTTGATTTAGCGTGCATGGACAATTGAAATAGCAAGAAGAACATCAGGCTATAGCAACAACTCACTTGAAACAAAGGCCGAGAGACTCTTCGCCATCTTCAAATACTCGCTTAAAAGAATCCTTAAATACAGAATGGCCAAAACTTTCTGATAAAACAACAAGTCCTCCAGTTCTTTCAACCGCAGCTTTCATTTCAGCAACACCAACCTAACATTTTAAACACAGAAAATATAGTTACGATCCAAATTAAAGTAGGGTTCAACAGAATACCATGGCTCTGAGTAAGTTAGAGCACACAGCAAGGAAGTTAATCAGAGGAAATGTTTTACACCATATTTTCTCCTTAACATGAAGATAACATTCAGGGAAAGTAAATACCTGATCAAGTGCGGATGCAAAAAGGTCCAGTACATGTCCTTGGTTCACCAGTTGGTTTGCGAGAGCATCATAAAATTTCTCCGCTTTCTTATAGAAAGGAGCCGCATCTTTATCGAGATCTTTATGTGAACGCAAAGGTTCTGATAGATCCTTTGACACAATCTGCAGAAGCCAGAGGTAGTACTAACTCAAAGGAAAAACTTTGTATTTGAGGCCAAATAATAAACAAGGAAAGTTCAGAGTGTGCTCTTCTCCTAAACACTTTTGTCAACCATTATACTTGCAGATAAATGGTCATCTAATATGAAGATGCATATCCCACCCGTAGCTCAGCAGAACATGAAGACAAAATACATATAGTTCAAGATTGCAGCCTAACAGACTTGTGATGAAAAAGTCATGCTATCTTAAGCAACATAGCTAGTTTCATCCTATTTAGGCTAGATGATGATGCTCTACCAAATCTGGCAATAGAAAAATAGCATTTATATACATCATCTTCTCCTAACTATCATGGCCAACTGTCACCCTTACCACTACAAGAGGTTCGTACATTAAATCTAAACCAGATATTGAACAATTCCGTATTTAAAAAGCCAAAATTTCTCCCGATTTTCTCAAGTACACTGTCACAGGAACTCTAAAAGGAAGGGGAATAAGCAAATGAAGTTACCGTGCCTGGCCCCTCAGAACATGGTCCTCCAATTAAAGCAACGATTCTAGCCCCAGTTCCAGGAAAACAAGCTCCAAGCAGTCCCGTAGCCACACTCAAAGCCACTCCCGTGCACCGAGACTGGCGACGTCCAGCCTGGACAGGCCACTGATCCGTCTGTAGCTCTTCCAACAGCTACACTCCAAAACAAAAACAAAGCTCTTTATCATCATCATCAGAAAAGCATAAACTTTATCAAACTCCAACCACAGATACTGGATAAACATACCGAATCAATCGTGAATTCACACTCGGAAGCTGGCAACAAGAATCTATTAACACCCGAATAGCCGGAATTGCCGGAATTATCCCTCCCCATTGGAAAGCCACCAACAGGGGTTCGTCTCCCAGAAGCACCAAGCCCTAACTGCTCCAAAATCTGATCTTTGGAGATCTCCTTATCTCCCCTAAAGACATAAACTTTAGTCAAATCAGAAAAACCCAACTCGTGAACATGCGCCTGCGTCCCAAACGAGACAAACCCAACCAATGCATTCTCCGGAAGCAACCCGATCGCCTGCTTAAGCGCAGATTTCGCGTATCCAAACTCCTCCTCAATCATACACGTATCCAAGACAAAAACAAACACCGACGGCGATGGCTGACCGGAAACAGCACCACTCTGATCAAAATTCCCAGCACCAGTAGGCTGAGAAGGGTTAGGCAGAGTGTATTCAACCGTAGTGTACTGCGGATACAGCTCACAAGGGACATTAGTGTCGGAGATAGCATGGTAGTGATGAGGGAAGTGGTTTCTCTGGAAGCAAATAGGGCAGATCCAGATCTTGGCGTGGGTATCAACACGAGCAAAAGGATTAAGAGCAGCGGAACAAGTGCGACAACGAAGAGGAGCATAATCAACAGATGGAATATCACGGTGGTAACGGATCGGAGAGATACAAGCAGCGACAGGGATCACACACTTGCTTGCTTCAACTTTGGTACGAGGCCAAACGTTCCACGTCATACGAACGCCATCGATTCCTTCTGGATCCATACTCGCCATCTCTGACATGGTTTTAAGATCGCCGAAAATTGGATGGGAAAGATTGTTCCTTTGAATCAGAATTTGTGATCTATCGACAGTTTCAGGCGACCTCGAAGCAGAGACGTAACTGTTGAAAGGATCTATCTATGTGAGAGAGATTTTATGAGTAGAGAGAGTCGTCTGTCTCTAACATTCATTCTTTTTTAGGGTTAAAAGGAACAGAGTAATTAATTAATGGCAAAAGTTATAATTACTCATCATCTAATTGAATTCATCATCAACTTATGTTAACATTGACCAAATCTTCTAACTAAAAAAAAAAATCGTATAATGTTTTGTTTTTCTTACATTTTAGAAAATGTGACATCACTTGGCCAATCCAAACCTTCTTTAGTTTTTCTTTGTCAGAGTTGTTTTTACTGAAAAACAAAAATAATTTTAAAAACTATGATTCATCGTTTTATTTGCCTTTATCATATTCGAATTATCAAAGAAACTTTGTGTAATCCACATCTAAATTAAATATTAGACTAACGAATTAAATGCAACAAAATTTAAACGGGAATCACAATAACATTTTTTAATAGTAATTTGTACATACAAGTTTATTGAATCAAAGAAGATGCATAATTTGTAAACTCCAACTATACATGAATCACCTACAACATGAATCTGTGCAGACACGTTGTGAGCATTGCTTTACCCTCCTCTGTTTTATACAACCTCAAAACAGAGAGTCTTCACAAAAGCCTCCACGTTCTTGTCCGAAGTTCCTCCTTCTCCACCCGCTTCAATCGCTAAACGCTTCCATTTCTCTGCGTTTTCCTTCAGCTCCTCAGATTTCTCCTCCATCACTGCTTCCAAACACCGCTTTATCTCTCCTCTCTCCACTAAACCTTCTGAGTTCTCTCTCACCCTCACACCTGTCTTCCATATTTCTTCCAAAAGCTTCGCATTCGCAGGTTGATCCGACCACATCGGAAACGCCACCACTGGAACGCCGAGAACCAAACTCTCCAGCGATGAGCTCCACCCACAATGAGTCACAAAACAACCTACGGCTCGGTGTCTCAAAACCTCTATCTGCGAACACCACGACACAATCATCCCAACCTCTTCAAGCTCGTGTCTGAAACTTGCTATCTTTTCAATCTCTGTCTCTTCTTCTCCTTCGATTTTGCTTCTCTGTTGAGTTTATCCGTTATAACCCACAAGAACGGTCTTTTCCCTTCTATGAGTGCTCTCGCTAGTTCCTCTATTTGTTTCTTAGACAACTCAACCATTGTTCCAAAAGAAACATAAATAACAGAGGACTCTGTTTTCGAGTCTAACCAAAGTGTATAACTACTACTTTGATCTCTTGATATATCTTTACCTGGTTCGCTTCCAGTGAAAATCTCCGCAGGAAGTAAAGGACCAACTGCCACCATTTCTACATTCGGAATAGCTGTTAAGAACTCTGGCTCCAGCGAATCGAATGTGTTGACCAGAATTTTCGGGTTAGATTCTTCTTTGAGAAACTCCACCAGTTCTAGATATACTGCTTGTGCGGCTTTGTTCGTGTTGGAAGGTGAGAGGAAAGAAGGAAGATCGCGGATTGCGAGAGAAGGAAGATTCGGGAACTCGAAAACAGAGTTGTTTACTGTAGAGTAATTGTAATAAATGTCGAAAACGAAGGCTGGTTGGATCCAGAGAAGAACAGAGGGAAGGTGAAATCTACGCGCCACTTTTGGAGCCCAGTTGGGAAGAATCGTGTAGATCAAGCAAGTCACGGGAGAGTCCACCATTTCCGATTAGCTTCGATGAAATCCGACAGAGCTTTATCGCCGTTACGTTTGAAGTTCAGCAACCGGTTTTGGACGTCGTCGGTGTTGGAGATGACTCCGTCGTCGAATCCGTCGGAGAAGAAAGTAAGGAAAGAGAGCAGATTGTTGACGTTGTTGTGGTCTGGGATCATAGAGCGGTTGATGGCAGAGAGGACACGTGGCAAAAGTGACACGTGCCCCGGTGGTTTTGATGAGCCGACGAGCCAAAACGAAGAGATGGGTTTCACGTGACCTTGAGCCGGAAACGTTACCAGTAGAAAATGCGGCTGCGCCATTTTTTTTGTAGTGACTTAAGTCTAATACGTACGAGGTGTGTCTCCTTGTGGATTTGTGCTGTTATGTGTATAAATAGAAAAATATATAGATGAGACTAACTGGAATTTCATTTTGGGTTATGTGACATGAACCACACATGAGATATCATGTGTTACCGTATTTGGCGTGATCCACGACGTACGCCATGATGGAAATCATAACTGGTCCCACTTATTATTGCCAAAGTCAAATCCATTTCCTGAAAAGTCAATGTAACAATCCTTATATTAGTCACTAGGTCTACTACTGTATCATTTATTAAAGAAAACATAACGAAAGAAAAGTTACATTACTGTATATCATAATTTTTTTGCATGAATTGTTTAAGATAAAAGTTTACATTAAAGTCTGAAGTTTTTCTCTTACCCACAAGGGTAACGACAGAACGGTTAAAATTCCAATTAACCGGTTTACAAATTTATATAAATCATTTACTAATCCGAGTGTAATTAAGTTTTATGAAATGTAATTTAACCTGTTACCAAAAAAAAAAAGTTTTATGAAATGTGGTTAGTTTTGGAGGTCACGTGATTATTAATTCTTTAGTACTTGTTTTCTTTGACCGAGTGGGTCCATGGTGAAGTGAATGAATATTGGGTAATAAATAAATATAGAAAGTGAGCAAAAAAATAAAAGTTGAAAAGGTAAATTGGAATAGAAAGGCTTCTTGCTGCTAGAAACGAGTACATTGGCTTGGCAAGATTCCATAAGTTTGTTTCACCAAAAAGGAAAGAGTAAAGAAAAACTTGGCTCTGCTCTCTTTTAAAAATGGTGGACTGGTTAAGATAGGAGACTCAATTTCTAATTCATTAAAACATTCTTTGGCGTTTTTATTTTGTGGTCACTTGAATAATAATGTCTCAGCTTCTCTTCCGTCTCTCCAAACTCTCTTCCCGGAACAATGTGCTTGTATGTACGCTTCTCTTGACTTCTCTCTTTATTGGTTTCGTTCTGTATTATAGTTAGGTTTTTTTGTTTTAGAAGGCGTTGTAGGGAACAATTTGAGATTGTCTCTAAGAAATGACCTCAGGAAGATAGGGATTTGAAGGTGGTGGAGTAGTTATAGACAAGAGGTTATGTTTCACTTTTCTGTTCTCATGTCTGAGTTTAATTCATTGGCAGATACACAAGAGCGTTCGCTTGTTTTCAACCAGCCCGTATTTAACACTTGGCAGCGTTGGTGAAGACTTGCCGGGAGAAGGCGGCGGCTACATCGGAGATATCCTCTTGTTCGATCCGGCCAAGGAAGAGTTAGTCACAGTCAAGGACAAAACAATACCTGAAGAGCTTGTTAACTCGAAACTGGTCGGAGCTTCACATGGATGGACATTTTTCTCTGACCGATGCAATCATAATTCTGTACGTATCAGCGACCTTTTTAATCCCCTGGCTTCCAAGTCAAACACCAAGATAATTCCTCTGCCTCTGCTTACTACTATGATCTATGGCCAAACAGATGTTGTCTGGAACGTGGCAATGTCTTCATCTTCTCCTCACCAAGACAATGAGGAAGAAGACTGTGTAGTGGCTATCAATTTCTTGGGTAACCAACTAAGTATGTGCAGGCCCGGTCGTGACCTCGGTGGACTAACAAACAAATCCCTTTCGTCTGCTCGGAAAACTCAAATCTTATGTACTCGAAGAGAGATCAAAGGTTCTATTTGCCTGCTCCTGGAGGCAACTACTTGTGCTCTTATGATCTTCACTTCGATAACGATCCTATGTTCAATGAGTTGGTGTTTCTGAACCTCCCTGAGTTGCCACAGTCCGAGTGGGAGCTGTTTGAATTCTTGTTTCAAGGAGGACCATTGGGTGGAGTCACCTTCCGGCCAAAAGTTTCTTAGTCAAATGGTAATGTGTGTAACATTAGATAGAAATCTTCGTCAATGCTAATTTGGGTCTTATTTGCTTGTGCAGGTACTCTCACGTCCCTTCTCAACGATACAAAGAGCCGATATTGATGGTGTTTAGAGAGGATGAAGAAACAGAAGAGGGAACAAGAAACATGTGTTACACGGAGGACATTGGAGATCTTTGCATCTTCCTTTCAAAGAGTGATCCTTTCTGTGTTGTGGCTAGCTCTTGCCCTGGTCTCAAACCTAACTCCATCTACTTGATGGGCCGTTGCTTTGCTGTTTATGAACTCACCACCCGAACCGCCCATCACTTTAAACCTCCCAAAGATGGACCTGAAAGGGTTCCTTTCCTCCCCTATTGGCTTCCTCCATTTTCTACCTAGTTCTTTGGTTGGTGTTGGTTTTATATGCGGTGTGTTTCGATTTTTAGTTTCGATCGACCGGTTTGGATTGCTATGATCTACTTTAGGATCATCTCTATGTTCCCTTTCGACGTTATTAATTTATGGTTCGTGGCACTTATTCTTTTAGAAATGTTGGCCCCCATATCACATCAGGATAATCACCTTAAGTTCATTGTAAAAAAATGAGCTTATACACACATATTGAACCTCCAAGAGAATTTTGAAGGACTTACTATACTGCAAAGAAACTCTATAGATATAGGCAAATTGAACCTCCAAGAGAAAGTTTAAAGGACCCTGGTTTGGGATTGGTTTAACTTAAAATTGAACTTAAACATAAACAATCTTAGGTGTTAGCAATCCAAACCGGTAGAGAGAAACTTAAAGTGTTGAACAAAGACAAAAATAGTATGACTAGATAGAAAATGGAGGAAGCCAGTAAGGAGTCGTGAGAACGCTGGGTGCACCTTTGGGAGCTTTATAATGATGTGCCTCTCCGGTAGTGAGATCGTAAATACCTAAGCCACGTCCCATAAAATAGATGGAGTTAGGCTTGAGGCCAAGGCATGAGCTAGCCGGGATGCAGAAAGCCTCGTTGTTTGCAAGGAAAATGCACATGTCTCCAATGTGCTCTGTGTAACACATAATCTTTCCTTCCGTCGTCTCCTCCTCTCTAAACACCATCAACCTCTTTGTTTTGTAGTAGATTCCTTTTAATATTGACGAAAAAAAGCCAAGCGCATACCTGCACGTAGGAAAGCACGCTTATTCCCAGCATTTTTTTTTGAATTTACATACTTGTATAAGTAACTATGAGTGTATAAATAGATATAATACCATTTGACTAGGAAACGTTCATCACCAGAAGGTGACTCCACAAGGTATTCAGTCCTGGAACACGAACTCAAAAGCTCCCACTCGGACTGATCCAACTCTGGATGGTCGCGATAGAACAACTCATGGAGCTCAGGGAAGTCGTCAGTTTTGAAGTGGAGGTCATATGAGAACAAGTAGTTGCCTCCAGGAGAAGGTAAGTAGAATCTTCGGTCTCTTTTGGAATACATGAGATTTGAGTTTTCCAAACAGTTAATAGGGGTTAAGATGTTAGTCCACTCAAGATCACAACCGGGCCTGCACAGACTCAGCTGGTTACCCGAAAACTTGATAGCCACTACACAGTCTTCCTCACCAAGAGGAGAAGAGGAGGACATTGCTACGTTACAGACTTCTTCGGTTTGGCCAGTGGGCAGAGCCGTAAGCCTAGGCAGAGGAATCATGACAGGGTTTGATTTGGATGCCAAAGGATTGAAAATGTCGCTGATACGAACAGAACGATCGCGCCGGTCACAGAAAAATCCCCATCCATGGGAAGCTCCCATCATTTCTTCATCCATGAGCTCTTTGGGAATTGTTTTGTCCGGGACCGTGACTATCTCTTCTTTGGTCGGGTCAAACAAAAGAACATCTCCAGTTTTGCAACCGCCCGGCAAAACTTCCTTAACCCTAGTGCCAAGTGTCAAATAAGGGCTGGTTGAAAACAAACGAACACTCTTGTGTATCTGCCAAGTGATTCGGACATCAGAACGGAAATGTAATGTAAACACTCTTGTCTAACTACTCCTAGCTAGCCAATCTCCAGCCACCGATCCTTATCTTCCTGATGTCATTACTTAGAGACAAACTCAAATTTTGTCCCCTACAAAGCCTTTTAAAACAAAACCTAACTAATAGTAATACAGAACAAAACCAATAGAGACAGAGAAAGAATAGAAGCTCACATACAAGCACATCGTTCCGGGAAGAGAGTTTGGAGAGACCAAAGAGAAGTCGAGACATTATCCAAGAGACCGCAGAATATAATTAGAAGGAATATCGTTACGGGAGATATAGAAATTGAGTTTCCCAATATCAAAAAAGAAATGGAGTCTCCCATCTTCATTCACCGTTTAAAAGGCTTGATTGATTACATAGCGTTTCTTTCCTCTTTCCTTTTCGGTGAAAACAGATTAATGGAATCTTGCCAAGCCAAGTACTCGTTTGTAGCAGCAAGAAGACTTTTCTTTCCAAATTACCTTTTCCATTTTTCTTCGCTTTCTATATATAATTTATTTACCCATATTCATTCCATCGTGGACCCACTCGTTCAATAAATTCACGTGACATTTAAAAACTAAACCAAGCTTTTTTACATTTACGGAAACTCATTGATTAATACAAATCAAAAGCCCATCAATTTACAGAGATAGGTTGCCCACTAACCACATTAGAGAAGCAAGCCCGGCCGTGAGGTAAGATTTAAAGCCCAAGGTTTATATGTCGAGTCGAGTGGGTTCTAGGTTGATATTACTACTACACGTCTTGTTATTCGGTTCCCATTTTCCCATAAAACTTATGATTTTTGCTTAATCTTCTACCAAAATGTCTTAGACCATGATTATCAGTGGGCTCTTAGCCTAATCTTAGAAAAATCTTAAGTAATAATATGAATTAAATTAAATGCCAAATGATGTATAAAGCTAAGGAACATCTCTTAGCTAAGAGCCAAAAGTAATAATTCTTACAAATTTATTACTTAAATATTCTTAAGAGTCAACACTAAGAAACCCTTGATAATCATGCTCTTAGACCATCTTTATCAATGGGTTCTTAAGAAAATCTTAAAATGATCTTAGTAATTTTTTAGTATTATTACTAAGAACCAAAGTTAAGATCCAAAATGAAAATGACTTACCTAAGAGCCAAAAAGAGGTAAATCTTAACTTTGGTTCTTAGTAATAATACTAAAAAATTACTAAGATCATCTTAAAATTTTCTTAAGAACCCATTGATAAAGATGGTCTTATTCTCTCTTCTTGTTCAATACTTCAATGTTTTTTTTTTGGGTCCGTTTATTTATTTATTTTCCAAACTGTCTTTTTCTCTCTCTTGTTCACTACTATTTTCCTCATTCTTTATGCTTTGCATGAATAACTTACTAGCTAAATCATATATTTAAATTTTAAAAGAAATAAATATAAAAAAACAACTAGTCTTTGTAATTATTGAGTAAATAAAATAATCCATGTATTTCTGCCATTTAATAATAATACGAAAAATATCCATGTATTTCTTACAAATTACTGGATATTAAAAACAAAAGAAAGATAATGAAAATTGCTTTGAGTTCTCCATGGCGTATCCGTCCCCGCCGGTTCTTGTAGAGGCTCAACTTCATCTTGAATGCAAGATCACACTTCCTGGACAAAACATGTTATAGAAAAACAATACAAAACAAACAAGAATAACATAATAGATATTAAATTTAAAAAGCCAAAGTCTGATCACAATAACTTAACAAAACGAAACATTGAGTCACACAACAAGCAAAGAGAGTAGAGTCAAATAACGTTATTACAAAACACAACCGGATCAAGATGCTTAATAGCTAGTTTATTTTTTGGAGCTCGTCGACTTGGAACTGCCGGCTTCACCGCCGTCTTCAAACCCATCGCGAGGCTTTTGCGGCATCTGCACAGAAAAGACCGTCTCCATAGTCTCCTTCTTAGTGACGTCACTTGGATATGTCCGGACAATAATGTACTCCAAGAGAGCACTCTTCTTCACAAACCAGTGGTCTTCCTTAACCGTGGGAGTTAGGACAGAAAAGTAAGCTCCTCCAAGCTCTCCATTGAACTTGTCGTTGTGGACGTCGGTGACACCAGCTTCTTTGGCTCCCACAGCAGCTACTTGCTTCATAATGGATTGTCCCTCGACGTGCACAAAATTTTTGAGTGCTTCGGTGGTCTTCCTTTTTATTGCGGACAAGATCGAAGACTTTGACATGCTTGTGTAGTTTTGTGTATATGTTGTGTTTGTGGTTTGAGTTTAGATTTAGGTTTTAGATCTTGAGAAGAGGTTTTAAATAGAAATTGAGAGGAGGAAGAGGGAGATGTGTAATAAATTTTCATCGGAGAAAGAGGAAGATGATTCATTTTCAGTTTCCTCTATTGTTCACTGAATTGCAAAACAAGCAGAGAGTACACAGATTCTATAAAGGTTGAGTAATGAGTTATGAGTTCAGAGCAAAAGTGTTTTTTTTTTTGGGTTAAAAGCCGAGATAGAGATGTATCTGCATGAAGAAGAAGATGGTGTTGATGGAGAGATAGGGAAAGATATGAACTGTAATGCACTTTAACTATAACATTGGAGATTGTGACCCCACGTCGCTTGTGGTAACATAAATTAACAGAGTATATACTAATATGTGTTAGATATATAATAGTAAAATCCTAAAGTAATTAAATGAGACCCACTTTCTCAACACTGTAAATGTAAATTAAGGACTACGATCAAAAGTCAAAACAAACTTATACAACAAAAAGTTGGATTATAATAATCGAATACATTATGTGGAAGCATTGATAGAAGAAAGAGAAAGATGTATAATAATGAGCTGAGAGGGAAACATATACATATTTTGGTTAAAACTTAAACGCCAAGAAAGAGATGTCTGTCTCTGCATAGTGCATAAAATGGTTGGTGTTGATGGGGAGAAACAGAAAGATAAAAAAAATCGAATTGTAAAAAATGGGACCCACAGTCTCTGTAAATGTTAATTAAGGACTATGATCAAGACAGAACACTTTAACAAAAATAAAAAATTCTTTATTATTATGCTTTGTTTCTCATGCATCAAATGTTCCATCAAAATATTTAGGACTAGCCAATTCTAAGTCATAGTTATTTTCTAAATATTTATGACCTTCTATTTGTCATGGACTCATGGCTGAGTTTTTTTTTGTTAAAAGGTTTTGATTTTTTCTTAATAGAAAAATACAATAGGGCCAAAAGCCCAAGAAGAAAACAAAAAGAAAGAAATGGCCCAATCCCAAAACGGGTTTGCCTGAGACCTAATCGGAAGTACAACAGAGATACAAAATAGCTAAACGCCGATCGATCGAACACGAGTCTCAAAAGGTGATTTAGTCAAACATGTTTTGTAATCGAGCATTATTCAACGCATATATAGATGGAGTACATTTTTGTGTTTAATTGAATTGATATACAAAGTGTTAGCTAATAACACTCATATTTGGCCACTTCTAGACACCAACTCTTTTGTCGTTTACTTTAACATCCTCTGCTTCACACAACCTTTGAACAAGAGAGTCTCCACAAATATCCTCCACAAAAGCCTCCATGTTCTTATCCGAAGATCCTCCTTCTCCACCCGCTTCAATCGCTAAACGCTTCCATTTCTTTGCGTTTTCCCTCAGCTCCACCGACTTCTCCTCCATCACTGCTTCCAAACACCTCCTTATCTCTCCTCTTTCCACCAAACCTTCCGAATTCTCTCTTACCCTCACACCTGTCTTCCAACTTTCTTCCAGTAGCTTCGCGTTCGTCGGTTGATCCGACCACATCGGAAACGCCACAACCGGAACGCCAAGAACCAAACTCTCCAGCGTCGAGCTCCACCCACAATGAGTCACAAAACAACCTACGGCTCGGTGACTTAAAACCTCTATCTGAGAACACCACGACACAATCATCCCAACCTCTTCAAGCTCGTGTCTGAATCCAGCTATCTTCTCAATCTCTGTCTCTTCTTCACCTTCTGTTTTCGTTTCTCTGTTCGGTTTATCAGTTATAACCCACAAAAACGGTCTTTTCCCTTCTATGAGTGCTCTCGCCAGCTCCTCTATCTGTTTCTTGGACAACTCAACCATTGTTCCAAAAGAAACGTAAATAACAGAGGACTCTGTTTTCGAGTCTAGCCAAAGTGTATAACTACTACTTTGATCTGCAACTGATTTGGTACTTCCTGAGAAAATCTCCGTGGGAAGTAAAGGACCAACCGCCACCATTTCGACATTCGGGAAAGCCGTTAAGGCCTCTGGCTCCAGCGAATCGAAAGTGTTGATGAGAATTTTCGGGTTGGTTTCTTCTATGAGAAACTCCATCATTTCTTGAAACGAATCGTATGCGGCTTTGTTTGTGTTGGAAGGTGTGAGGAAAGAAGGAAGATCTCGGATTTCCAGTGAAGAAAGATTCGTTAACTCGAAAACAGACTTGTTTCCCATGAAATGATTGTAATAGATGTCGAAAACCAAAGCCGGTTGGATCCAGAGAAGAGCAGAAGGAAGTTGAAATCTACGTGCTACTTTTGGAGCCCAATTGAGAAGAATCGTGTAGATCACGCAAGTCACCGGAGAGTCACCATTCCTACTAGCTTCGATGAACTCCGATAGGGCCTTATCGCCGTTAACCTTGAGATTCGCCGTCCTTTTCAGACGGTCTTCGTAGGTGGAAATGCCTCCATCGTCGAAACCGTCGGAGAAAGTAAGGAAAGAGAGATTGTCGACGTTGTTGTGGTTTGGGATCATAGAGTTGCGGAAGACGGAGACACAAGCGACGAAAGTGACACGTGCGCCGGTTGTTTTGATGAGCCGACGAGCAAAACGGAGAGATGGGTTCACGTGACCTTGCGCCGGAAACGTTACCAGTAGAAAATGTGGTGGCGCCATTTTTTTCTTTTTCTTTGCTCCACTAATTAAAGTGAGTTCAATACAAGAATATGTGTCTCCTTGTGGACCTGTGCTTTCATATATGTATATAAAAAGATATAGATGAGCAATTGTATTTTGATGTCTCTACATGCATGCGTATTCATCAAACATACACAAAATTGAACCAGATAACTTGTGACGTCTGTGGTGACGCTCACTAGATAAAAACGCTTCATCGTATAAATCCAAACTTGCGGTTGCTTTTTGCAGATTTGAGGTTTACATGTCAATGAACATACAAACAAATTTATAATCAAAAACAACTTACGAACAATTTCATTTCATTCATATAAAATAATAGTGAAAAAGAAACAGAGTAAATGCTTTTATCTGCGTTTTATGATTACTAATTTTCTTTTATTACTGTAGTTTTATCTGGAAGAGAAAAAAATAACTAGCAACAAATAATTGAGACCAATGATTAGTCCTGTCTTTATCATGACCTATGTAGAAAAGTTCAAGTGATAAACATTTTCTTTTTGTCTTTTAGAATAATTAAGAACCAAAGTTTTCGTCTTCCAGATGATAAAAGATACGTCTCATGCACTTTCTATTATAATGGACTCCAACTTATGGAAAATAATCAACATATATTTATGAAAGTTACAGGGTTTCTAATTTCTAACTATAGATTACTTGGGAAGGAAACAATAACAACAGATAACCATTTATATGTTACTCCTTGTTTTTGGAGGACCGGTCTTTTCTTTGACCACCAAGAATACGAGAGATTTGTAGTCCTCTACTAAAAGCTTGGTTAAAAAGCATTCTTGTCTGAAACTCAGACACAAAAGGAAACCAAGCCAAAAACGCAACTGGTGTGAATAGAAGCAAGCCCATCACGATCTCGTAGCCTCGAGCTAGCGTCCTAACTGATGACCATATCCCTAGCTGTAGGATCAGAGGCTTACACGCTTGCGCAATCTGAAGTGGAGGACAAAACAAAGCTACTGTCAAAAAACCAGACAAAACTGGTATCTTCTTAGAGACAAAATGAGGAGGTTGATGGAGAAGAAAAGGACTTACGAGAAGCATTCCCCATCCAGTTGGCATGAAGGCAAGCATGCAGATGAATAAGTCTTTGATTGTTATCAGAGGAAGTGCGAGGAAAGTTATGAGAATTGCCACAAATGTGAGGAACACAAGACCCTTTATGATTCTGAATAGAAGTTGGAAAGTCGTGCTAAATCTTCGCCTTCCAACGCCCAAACCCTGGTAATGATCGTTACATACAAGGAAGCAACACAATGTTTAGAGTTGGCAAGAAAATTAAATGTGAATGTGAATGTCCTTAAACATCCGTACCTTCACAATTAGCAGAATGAATAAGATCACAAACCATGACGCTCCATAAACCTGAAAACAGAGTCACAATCGTTCAATAATTAAGGGATTCACCATTCACAGGGAAGTAGCTATATGCTTAGCTTACCCAAAAGCTTTGATTTTTCCCTTTAAAGGTACTGAGATGATACACTAGTCCGTATTGAAAGATGAAGAAGCGCAAGGCCAAAAAGATCTCAAGGATGATACCACGGACCCCTGAATGTCTAAGATGTTCTAATTCTTTCTCCCACCAAGATTCCCAACTCTTCTCAGGAGGGACACCGATTCCTCCTCGGTTATATATCCATTTGTTCCAGTCTGTCCAGTCATCAACAATCTTTTGCCACTCGAAACCAGACGGGTTGAAAAGGAAAGGAGCAAAGAGCCATGTCACCACCATGAACCATATTGAAACAGTGATCAGAATATAAGTAACCACACCCCTATATGATTGACCAAAGATCTGATATACAAGTAGAAGAATCATAAGCTCAATGCCCTTCACGAAATGACTACGGGAATAGAACCTATAGTTCTCAGCAAATTTCGCATGGAAGACCACAAACCCACGCCCAGTTCCTCTATACTCTGCGCCTCCATGAAACAATGTCCTTCCGTAGTAATGTGTTTTTGTCCCGAGCTGAAACGTGAAAAAGACGGAAGCAAGTTGTAACTGCATCAGCACAAACTCGATCAAAGCGTTATGAAACCCCCTCTCAAGTCCAATCTCCATCATCATAGGCAAAGCCATCAAAAAACCAATCTGCACAAATGATTGAGAAGCAAGAGCTGCCTCAAGAGGCTTGTTGTTACGAAAAGCTCGTTGGTTGCTCAATCCTTCTTCAAGCCCACTAAGTACTAGATATAGCCGTCCATAAAGAAACACATACACCGTAAGCACGGTTAACTGTCAAAAACACAAATAATGGCTTCA